TCATAATTAAGTTTTAAATAATTAAAAAAATCTAAATACTTTAAATTTGATTAAAATCCAATTTTTATTTAATAATATTATAAAAATAAGATTTTGAGAGAAAAATTATTCATCTTCTTCAGCCCTCATCACTAACCAACAACCTTTGTCGCTGATCAAAGTGATTTCATTAATCCCTGTCGTCGGTAACTTCAGAATGCGGAGTCACTGAAGTTTTCTTTAATTCCGAATTTGGTCATCGACGATAAAGTTAAAATCGAACGTATCAAAGGTTGCCGCCAATTATACCGGTTGCACGAACCCTTGCCGCTTATGACTTCATAGTACGGAGCCGCTGCCGTTTTCGCTAACTACGACTCCGGTCGTCGTCGAAAAAGTTAAAATAGAACGTATAAAAGGCTTTCGTCAGTCAGACCGGTTTCACCATAACTTCATCTTGCAAAGCTGTTTTCGTTTTCGGCAACCCCGACTTTGACCGTCGTCGACAAAGCCAAAATCAAAAGCATCAAAGATTACCGTCCGTTTTCTCCGCCTTTTCGTCAACCGTAAGTCTCCTCCCTTTTCTCTTCACCCATTGGCAGAACCAAACCCCCCTCCCCCGCGCCTCCTTCACTATCGCCAGCAAACCTCCCCTTTCTCCTTTCCTGTAATGAGATCTTATCACACATTTATGCGTTTAGAATTTAATAATAGTTTGTATTTTTTTAGTTTAAAACTATATAAAATATTTAAATAAAATACTTTATAATAATATTATTTATCATATAAAAAGTTTTTTTAAATATTAATTTAATTAAAAATTTATTTTACAACCAACAACCAGTTGATCTAGTGAGAGGAGACACTATATTCTTAAGTAAGTCCGGAGTTATAATCTTAGCGTTTGTGAATAGAGCAAACTAGGTTGGAAAGATCACCCTCGCCTCTGTAGTACCAAGTCTAAATTGATCGATTAACAGATCAAATACCAATGACTAATTTTAAAAAAACTAAAAATAACATATAATATAATAAAAAATATAAAAAAATAATTAAGATATAAAAAAATAAAAAAAATAATTAAGATATAAAAAATATATTTAATATATAGATGAATAAGAAATATATAACTATATTTATAATTGTTTTTATAAATACTCCGAATTTTTATAATTAGAATTATAATATTAATAAAATTTATTTACACAATTAATATTTTCATCTTTTTTTATTAATATACTCATATATCTTATCAACTTTAAAAATAAATCATTAAAATTCATCACTTATAATGAAGAAATTGATATAAAATATTAACTACATAAAAAATTATATTATTTTTCAAATAAAATAATAAGAGATTCCAGTAGTTCACTTTAAAATTATAATTATAATTATATTCACATATTATAAAATAATTAATTTAATTCAGAAATTAAAACACACGACTAACATTATTTTGTATAGTAAATTCATCATATTTAAACATATAATCATTAATTTATTATTGTATAATCCTAACTCTGTGTTGAAGTGTTTTGAAAACTAAACTTTGGAAACAAATAATGGTGAAGGAACATGGCTTGGCGAGGAGATTAAGTGTTTTAGGAATGAATAAATGGGTAATGAATGTGGTTAAACTCCAAAATTAATTTATAATTTTTTAGCATCAAATGTTCGTCTCGCCTATGGAAGACGCACACCTTCTTTCTACACTTTATGTCTAGATTTTAGAGACTTTTTGTGTATCTGTGCGCTTTACGCATTTTAAAATTAAAATATATTAAATGTATGTTGATATATAGATTTTTAATAATTCTTATAGGATGCTAAATATGCCATATGTTCTACCGTCTAAAATAATTAGATATTAGAGGCATGCAACAGAAAACTACAATTGAAATGATGGGGGAATTTTCATTGGATCTTCATGGATCCAACATAAAAAATATTATAGTACAATTGAAATTTTTAATTACAATTGCAATGGTGGATCACACTAGAGTGAATGTCCAATGAGATTTATTTTACCAAATGCAGTTATGCATATCTGATAGCAAGTCAATGCTTGACATGTGTTTTGCATGGATAAGTATATTTTAATATTTAAATTTTAATTTTTAGGTAAAATTTGGTATTAATTTTTTATTAAGTACTTAATTTAGTTTTAAAAGTTTAATTTGATAATTTAAATTTTTTGTATCCAACTAGGTAATTGAATTTAACTTTAAAGTTTATCTTGGCACCTAAAGTTTTATGATTAAATCAGGTACATAAACTTGATTTCTTAGTTCAAATTAATATTTAGACTATTTTTTGGGTACAAATTGATACTTATAATGATTGACTTATTTGAACCATGAAGACAAAATTTAAAAATATATTTGACCTAAAAAAAGTTTAGATGTTAAATTTAACCTTGAAGTCAATTTCAAATACCTAATTAAACAAAAATTTACCAAATTACATCCTAAAACCAAATTCTATGAATTAATCGCATGAACCAAACGACTTATATATTAAAGAAATTGCTGTTATTTTTTTAGGTTTCGGATTCGAGTAGAATGTCTGTAAGGGTATATAGAAGTTCATTTTTAAATACTTGAACATATTTCTAACAAATAATATCTTATATTCACTCTAGACTGATTAAAAAATATTAATAATCAAAACTGTTATAAATACATAATAATATAGATATGCAAAATTATTAAAATATCACCATACAAATTAAATATTAAAATAATATTCATTTTCAAATTTTATTAAAAATTATGAAAAGTACATTTCACGTAACATGATTTTTTTATGTTACACTGAAAAAATATTATTTTAATAAATTATTAATAGATAATAATAAATGTTGTTTTGGTATTTAATTATTTTTACGATGATATTTGGGTAACTTATAAACACAGCTGAATCTGATACTGGATTTGCATTTGGTCAAAATTGAATGAATCGTCGTAAATTTCATTGTGAGGTGATAAATAAAATAGTAGAAATGTAAAGAGTAGTTAAGTTATGAGGTCGCAGCTGTCTATATTAAAGAAGAAATAAAAAGGTTTTTAATTTTATGAAGAAAAAAGTGAATGAAGCCATGACACGTAGGCAATTATTTGTTAGTCCCAAATCCCAACATCATAAAAAAATAAATATACTGAAATTGATTACTTGTAAAAGTTCCAAAACAATGATGTTACCCTAAGTATCCTAAGCTAAAAGCACATGCGTGGTCAATGTCATCAAATTTTCCTTGTTTTTACCGCTCAACTGTTCAATTAGACTATCTCAATTTTAAAGTTTGCTACAGAACTTTAAACATAATTGGAATTTTTAATCACCAATATAACAATCATTGTTATCAGTTATTACCATTAACTATACGGATTAAATATACAAGAAGTGTTCAATCAATGTCATTTTTTTAGTTTAGTATCTAACAATTATTTCGTTTCAATTTAGTGTCTAACATTTTATTTCGTCACTCAAAATGGATCAAGTCGTGACATACCATTAATTTTTTCCGTTAAGTGACATGTGTCATAATCTAATAATTTTAAAATTTGTATATAAAATTAAAAAAAATTAAATTATATATATATTTTTTAAAAAACACAAATTTCGAAATAACCCCAAAACTTTAAAAATCTTTATTTCAATTGCTAAACCCTCACTGACCGCCGCCCTTTACTGTCGACGAAATTACACCGACCTCACCTCCCCCGACGACCAAAATCCCTATGAATTTGTGACTGATTAACGACCTATCGACAGCGAATCAATAATTTATACCCAACGAGCCCTATGATGAAAATCGCAATCTCAAGCGATTTCGACGGCTAATCGACGATAACTATGATGATTTATAACTAGGATGATGACATGGACTACGTCGGCAATATGTTAGTGTAAGGATTTGGAGATTTTACGGATTTTGAGTTTTTTTTATAATTTAAAAGAAATAAGGTTTTTTATAAATATAATAATATTTTTAATATTTTTAAAAAAATAAATTTTAAAATAAAACGTTAGGCACCAAACTAGAACGAAATAAACGTTAGACGTTAAATTAAAAGAATGGACATAGGTTGAATACATTTTGTATATTTAAGCCTTAACAATAAGTGATATCTGTATATTATATTTTAATAAATTAATATAAACATAATTTTTAAGAGGATGGAATTTAAGATCTTTAGGGGAAGTACATGGACTAACCACTAAACTAAATAAAAATATATATTTTGATAAAACGTAATATTTTAATTAAATTGTAATTGTAATTGTAGTTGATTTAATTTATTTTTCTAAATATATAATTATTATTATAATAAATTTAAATTAAATTAATATCCAGTAGATTAACGACATCAAATTTAGTTTAACTTTAAATATAATATATAAATATATTAACATATATTTAGATTATAATACGCTACATCAATAAACTCTTTTGATATAATATTACAATATCGCACGTTCATCACAAGTAGATAAGAAAAATAGTCGATCGCAAAAATTATGGTTAATAAATATTTAAAGATAATTATTTTAAATAAAATCTTTAATTTTTTAATTTTTTTTTAAAAATGGAGTAAGTTCAATAATTGGGTTGGTAAAGTCTAATGCAATAAAGATCTGAATATAATTTAGTATAAGATAATACCAATTTATTTTATATAGATAAAACAAAAAGCTACAAATATCATATCATATAGAGGAAAAAAGGGGTGATTGGATCGGATAAGAGAAACAGAAATATATAAAAAAGAGTGAACGTGATGGAGATTGAAGACGCAAATGCCAGTTTTGCCCTCTTATCTTCCTCACAGCACTCAGCTCGCAACTCCCACTCTAGGCCCTTTTTATTTTCTTCCTTTTTCTCTGTGTTAGCATTACAAGTTGTAGAACAAGTCCACTGCTTGAAAGCATCAAAACGAGGACAACAAAAAGAGAAGACTCATTTAATACATCAAACAGAGAGTTTATTATTATTATTATTATGTATTAGTATTACTAGTATCTGCCTACCATTCTATTATTATTATTATTTATTTTTTATTTTTTGAGGGAAAAAGAGAGAAGGAATCGGATTAAGAAAGGCTTTCAACTCTTAACCCCAAGTAAGTTATGGATCCTTTTGTTGTGGGGTGGTGGGGAATTTCAAGCTTCATTTATCGGTATTTGTTATTCCCATCATCACCATCATCATATTTCTCCCTTTCTTTGTCTCTCCTTCGAAAAAAAACGGAATATGTTGATTAATTTTTTTTGTTTAATACTGTTTTCCCTCTTGTTTTTTTATTAGTGTTTGTAAGCGGAAGTTTCTCTCTATATTATTTTTTGTTACAGGCTTCAGAAAGTTGAGATTTTGATGGTAATGTAGGTGTTCTGTTGACGGCTCTCCTATTATTCAGCTTTCGTTTCCATGGATTCCTCCTTTGAGGGTAATTTTTTTTATAAAATAGTTCTTGTATTTTTTTATTCTGGATTATCTGTATGATATGTAATCAGGGTATTTGATGTTTTCTTTGCTTTTGGTTTTTAGTTTATTGAAGGTCGTTAAAGGTTAGATCTTTCAAAGGATTCGCAATTAGTCATACTCTTTAGTTTTTTTTTTATTTCTTGGTTTTTTGATTCCGGATGTAGATTGGAGTACATCGGTAAAAGAATTTCGCCTCATACTTGTTGAGTTCGATGGCCCTTTTCTTTTCTTTTTCTGGAATTCATTTTGTATCTTTTTTTGAATATGAGATCATACGGTCTTTTGATCTTCCTCAGCATTCTGATGCACTAGTTTCTTACAAATTATTTGCGTTGCGTGAATTTGACTCTTTATTTGCTGTATTTGCTTTCATAATGGAAAATGCATGTGGTGGCTTTTCTCTGTATCACTCTATACCAATGCATTATATAGATGTATATGAAGATGAACTAACCTAATGTTCTATCATGTTTAAATATTGGCACACTACCATCTTAAATAATCTCATCTGACCATCCTGACGACAGTGAAGAGCCTGAGGTTTTAGAAAGTCAAATTTCACTTTGTTCAAAGTTCAATCCCTTACTTGGGACAGCTATGATATCTTCCTATAACCAATTATGTCAAATTATCCTGTAAAAGATCCTTGGTATTTCACGTGCTGGAACATCCTTTTTATTTGAAGTCAACTTTTAGTTTTTCTGTAGTGGATCGTGGTATACTTTCATTAATCAAGTTTATTAAGGCATCTAGAGAAGGGAGGATTCTAGTCGAGCTTCTTGAATGACTGCTATGATTGGTTAATAACAGTAATTACCTAACATTATTGTTTCCTAGATGGAAAATAAATGTCTATATGAATTCCTTGTTTATTATTTTCAACATTTTGTCTAGTTGATACAAGTAATAGGATGTATGGTTTGTCGTGGTACCTTCTAGTGCTTACACTTTTTCACTTGCTATTTTTTGCTCCCTTTTGAATAGGAGTTGCACTTGATCCATCAAAATGTAGTAAATTGAGTATGGGTGAAAAGAGAGAGTTAGTCTATGAATTATCAAAGAGGACAAACAGGGCCTCTGAAATGCTACAATCATGGAGCCGCCAAGAGATTTTACAGATCTTATGTGCCGAGATGGGGAAGGAAAGGAAATATACTGGATTGACTAAGCTGAAAATTATAGAAAACCTTTTGAAAATTGTAGCTGAAAAGAATTCGGGGGATCGTGAGGGTGTAGCAGATCCTGAATTGCAATCTTCCCCGACAAATGGCCAGAAAACATCCAAAAGGCAGAGGAAAGCTGATCATCCGTGTCGACTGCCTGTTCTGGTGAATGATCCTCCAATCAATAATAGCGGAAATGATATGACTAATGCTATTTATTGTAAAAACTCAGCTTGCAGGGCTAGCTTGAGACAAGATGATACATTTTGCAAGAGGTGTTCCTGCTGCATCTGTTATAAGTTTGATGACAACAAGGATCCTAGCCTGTGGTTAATTTGCAGCTCAGAGCCTCCTTTCCAGGGAAATTCTTGTGGCATGTCATGTCATCTTGAGTGTGCTTTAAAACATGAGAAGTCTGGTTTTCGTAAAGATAAACGGCATGCAGGACTTGATGGGAGCTTTTATTGTGTACGATGTGGGAAAGTAAATGATTTGCTTGGGTAAATACACCTAGATGCTATTTGTTCTCTCCTCTCTCTCTCTCTCTCTCTATTATATATGTATATGTATATGTATGTCTATCTATCTAAACATCCTTTTTGTTTGTTTTCTTTGGTATACTATTCAGTCAGTTTGAGCTTTTGTTTTCTATTTTGCTGTGGTGCTTTTCAGATCTTTTGGGTGATAAAAATTATGGATAACTTCCATTAACCATAATGCTAGAACTTGATATTTACTATTATTATGTTCGAAGATTCTAAATTATTGCTTGATTGTTTCCATTTTATACCTCATGTTGTGACACTATAAGAATGAGGAGACGAATTGTTTTCTATTAACTTTGTCTGGTATTAGACAATCAGACTTTCATCGATTGTTTTCTGCAGTCTGTTTAATCATATAAGACAGCTTTATGTTTTTTTGTTTCTATTCCCTGAATGCACTTTGTTCTTGCCTATGCCTTATGGATAATTTCTGTTCTTCATAAATCATGTTCTATTTTTTCTGATGTTATTTGTTGACTGTAATTTGAATCCTTTTGATGATACTGTCTGTGATGAAAAACTCATTTCTTAATTAGTTGTTTTGACTGTAATCATTATCTTAACTGTTCTCTTGGTTCTTATTTACTACACTTTCCCACTAGCTTTGTGAGAATAAGTAATTGAGTTACAGTAGTTGAATTATCTAATTTTCAGATTCTTTTTCCCAGATTGGTTTATGATAGAAGTTTCAAATTTTAAATCTAATCAGTCCATTGGTTAACTTTTGAGTATAGTTTATTATTCCTCTCTTTTCTGTAATCTTTTAGAGCCAAGACTATTTGTTATCATGGTTTTTATTTATTTCACCTTTCATTGTATATGTTAGCATTTTGACTTTTTCTTTATGTGGTCACTTTTTGTGTGTGTTTAACCAATGATGGTAGGGTTAATGTTATTCTATGAGTTTTAAAGGGTGCATCTAATATGTAGAGCATAAGGACTGCAGAAACGCTAAAGTTACAGTAATAATCTTTGTTGTTGCTGTTTTTATCAATATATTTTCTAAGCTTGCAGAGTAGAGTTCATGACTACCATGTCCCTTTAAAGATTTCATATAAGATTCCAAGTTAATTGAGATTGTTTTCTCCATTAAAGGTTAACTTAGAAAATTTCAACAGCAAGGTTGTTATTTTCATCAAGATGAGGACGAAAACAATTGTGTTGACTTTTTTATGTACTTGAATTTGGTTGTCAAGGAGTATACTACATCATGTAACATTTGCACATATGCTAAGTCCCACTCTAAAGGTTTTTGGTATTCTGTTTTGCCATTGATTTTTTTTTTGGGATAGTTCTGCCACTTTGATATTTACTCTTAATGTGCTGCACTTTCATCATGTTGCATGTAGAGCCTTTTTTTCTCAGAAAAACCTAAATTTCACTTTTGATTTCCACAAACTAGTTGAATTTTAATTAAATATAATACCAATATGCTAAAAATGTCCATTACGGCACTATATAAGGAAGAAGGCGTGTAAATATAGATAAACTAAACCAAAAATATTATGTTAAATGATGCTTTTTTTATTTATTTATTTAATCATGAAATGTCAATGCACAGTTTGATCAGACTGGTTCCATTCACTTTCGATATTCATATAGGTGCTGGAGAAAACAACTGATGGCTGCGAAAGATACGAGGAGGGTGGACATACTCTGCTATCGCGCCTCTTTAGGCCAAAAACTTCTTAATGGTACTCAGAAGTATCAAAAGCTTTCTGAGATTGTTGACGAGGCTGTTAAGATGCTTGAAGCTGAAGTAGGTCCATTAACTGGTGTGCCTGTGAAGATGGGTAGGGGTATCGTCAACAGGCTTTCTTCTGGACAGGAAGTGCAGAGACTCTGTTCTTCGGCAGTTGAATTACTGGACAAAATGATTTTTGATACGATCTCAAATTCTTCACCAGATCTTTCATTACCTGGTAATCCTTGAGTTGTATTTCTCTTGATAAATGGTTTTTTATATGATTTCAAATGAATTGTGTATCCTGTCTAATCTTTTACTTGCAACAGAAGTTCTTTACTCCACAGTCACCTTACATTCAAGTAAGTTTTCAACGGAGTATATTCTGTTGATGTTTTTCATATTGTTCTTCATTTTCAGCAGGTCCAAGTTCAAAATCTCCGGCAGTTGTACGCTTTGAAGATGTTCAACCGACTTCCCTTACTGTGATTGTGGGTTCTGAAGAAACTTTTCCAGATGGTATTATTGGTTACACCTTATGGCATCGCAAGGTTCATGATAGGGATTACCCTGTTAAATCAACTTGTACATTGTTTGTACCAAATAGAAGGTATATTGTCACAGGACTGACTCCAGCTACGGAGTATTATTTCAAGATAGTCTCCTTTGATGGAAAAAGAGAGTTTGGCCCATGGGAAGTTCCGATTTCGACTGCCAGTAGTGGGGATGAAGTACCAAGCTGCCCTGTGATGGGAAGAAGTCAGAGCCCTGCTACCAACTGTAGTAGCCTTTCTAATCCATCCTCTGTGGAGGATGAAACTAATAACAATACCCCACACAGTGATCAGAATGATGACCGGGCTGACAATTATGTGACGTATTGCAAGGACACAGAAAAAATTATTCCCACAAATCTATCCGAAGGTGCCACCAACCGCACTGTCCTTGGTGAAGATGGAATTCCTGCAGATGAAGTTTCTCTGTTGGGTGCAGACCATGCCATGGAGATAGTTGGTCCAATGCCTGATTCTGATGTCTTAGATGTTGAGAAAAAACAGACATCAGAGGATCCAATTAATGAGGAGACGAGCACTGATAATGGCTCTGATGCCCCGGTTCAGACTGGTACTGAATGCGTGCCATTTGTGGGTTGCTCAGAAGCTGGCCTGCCCGTTACTCCCTGCAGGATGGAAATAGTTAAGGATGTACAAGGAAGGAGTGGGAGATGTAAATCCAGCAACAAGGACCGGAAGGATAGGACCGGTAAAGGAGATGATGCTCTTGATGGTAGCTCTTCCAAGAAAAGAAATGGGGAAAGGCGGGACGAAGAATGTGTGGAAACCGGTGTCTCAGAAGTGGACTTTGAGCATTGCGTGAAGGTAATCAGATGGTTAGAGTGTAAGGGACATATTGAGAAGAACTTTAGGCAGAAATTCCTCACCTGGTATAGTTTAAGAGCCACCCCACAGGAGGTGAGGATTGTTAAGGTCTTTGTCGGTATCTTAAGTGAAGACCCAGCATCTCTTGCCGAGCAGCTTGTTGACACATTTTCGGACTGCATCTCAAGCAAAAAAACGTATGCTGGGCTTTGCATGAAGCTTTGGCATTGACGTCAGTGGGTCATATGGTAGCCCTATAAGATGTTTTTGAGTACAAACCTGGACCAGGGCTTGTGTTTAGCATAATTTTTTAGACCCGTAACATATATTCTTCATTCTCATATAGATAGATCATGAATCACCATGATTTATATATTAGCTTTTGTCATTCTTATGATTATGTAAGGATGTCAGAGTTGTTATCCTTTAATATAACAGTTGTTGGCTGGTTTGCTAATTAATGGTGGTTTCAGTTACATTCTTTTATAATGTCTTTATAACACATTGAATGGCAGCCACTTTCCCCTAATAACCAAACGAATGGCAAGTGAGGATCTTTTAATATATATATTATCTTGGGGGAGCTTGTTAATTTTCATCAAGATGAGATTGTTTAGGAGGTTTAAAGTCGAATGGGGTGAGATGAAAGCCCTGGTAGCACTAATATACTGAATTCGCAACACTCGAAACTAAAATTTCACTTAAAAGGAGGCAGATTCTGATTACTCGAGGAATAGACATTGTTACTCCACCAAAAAGCTAAAAATTTATGTAGTGAAACAAGCCTTTTCCAGTTTCTTTTATAATAAGCAAAAGAAGAAGAAAAAAACCTATATTTTTCAGGAGGCTATTTCTCCTAGTTAATTCAGGTACACATTTTATGCTTCTCTGCATATTTTTTTAATGAAAGTTGCGTGATATTTCAGGGTTTAACCTTCAACTGATAAACACACCAACACCAATGGTTACGAGTTGATACTCCAACTGGGAAGCTGATGTTGTTGTTCAGAATGCTAACTGTGACCCAATATTGCATGAAACAAAAACAGTAGAGGTGAGGCTCAGCTTGTTGAAGGAGACAAGACGATAATCAGCATCTTGAATATCACTGGGATACGCTGTTCGTATTCTAGACCTGAATAACGATATTCTTCACCCTCCAAACAACACTCCTTTACTTCCATGTGACTCCTCTGATTTCCTTTGTTTAAACCTCAAACGCCAGAAGAGAAGCTAATTGAAAGATGATCACTGCTGGGGTTTCTACCAAGGAAATGGATGAGTGGTGACGAAGCAAAAACATAGCAGGTAGAGAAAGGAGGAAGATTACTAACAACACTCGAGAGCTTGTGCCTGCTAACCCCGCTGAAATGTCTTCAAATCCATTTGCATGCTCAACTTGGTTATTTCTTACATTCTTTTTCCTTTTAAAAACCCTATATTTTACTACTCCTAAGTAATCGTAATTAATTAGATCGGGATGCTTTATTTTTTGTTTTATACATTCAAATAACAACATAAAGAAAGTTTGTTAGGGTCTGCACATTAGTTAATTTAGTTTTAATTGTTGGTGGACAAAATGTAACTTTATCAACCTTTGGGCTTTAAGTTCCATCCCAGTTTCCTCCTTTAGAAGACAAAGTGATGGTATGGGTCTATTTGTTTTAAAATTTTTTTCTTCAAATGTCAAAAGAATGGACGAATCTAGAGTGAACGTTACGTACTAAAATATACTATTAATGTGATATATCGAAATACATTACAAAACAAATTGTGACACGTATAAAGGTTCAGCAAAAGCTAGCTTTGCAGTGAATCCCATGGACATTTCTTTCACATCACTTTGTCAACCTTCAATTTTGTAATTCAACTTCACATTCATATGCACCAAATCCATCTATTTTAATTTTGCTCCCTTATAATCCTTGTACGCTATTTCAAATAAGACCCGTAAATATTTTATGATTACACGAACTACTAACCATGATAATCCTCATATAATATTTCAAATAAAATCTGTAAATATTTAATAATTACAAGAACCACTTACTATAATAATCCTTATCATTATTGTTTCTTCATAAAAGAGACTCCAAAGATGCATGATAGGACGATTTAGATGTCTACACCAAATATTCATTATCGAATGGTAAATATGTATATGTGTAACCATAAAACAAAATTCACATGCACCAAATCTATTTTGATTTTGCTCTCTTGTAATGCTTTTATAATATTTCCCCCCCTTCCGGTTCTCAAGATTTTATCTTTATTAATCCGGATCGATCCATGCCGTACACCTAATTTAGGTGGGTGAGCCTCGCAACAGAGATTTTATGCATACACAATTATTTGAACTCGAGGTTTGCTTAAACGATACCAAGTTACTTATCGCTAACCATAATAATCCTTGTATAATATTTCAAATAAAATCTGCAAATGTTTAATAATTACACAAACCACTAACTATACTAATCCTTATAATTACTGTTTTCTTCATAAAGAGTTTCCAAAGATGCATGATACGACGACTTGGATGTCTAAACCAAATATTCATTATCTTATGTTAAATATGTATATGTGTACTATAAAACAAAATGATATTAGTAGTGTACCGTTAAACAAGTTTCAATTTAGTCGACTTGATAAGTTATTTTATAATTTTAATTTTAATTTTTTTTTAAGTTAAATCGAGTTTATGAAAATCAAATTAAATTCAATAATTCGATTTACTATTTAAATTTAACTATAAATAATTATAATATTATAGTAATATTTTATTTCAATTAAAACGGTATATATATAACTTAATATTTCTTAATATATCATGTATAATTGAGGAATTTGACTCGAATTTGAAAATTAATTAACTAATTACAAAAAAAAAAATTAAGTTAATATAATTATTCAAATTCTATTTTATAACTCAACTCGAATATAAAATTTCTTCGAGTCGAATTTATAAAATTACGAGTTGAGTAACATCAAATCGAGTATTTTTAACATCAAATCAAATTGAAAACTTCAATTTTACTGAATTGAGTATTACGTGCCACCAAACTCATTTAACATTATTCTTAAAATGTTTGGAAAATTCATATTAAATATTTAGGATCTGCATTTAGCCTTAATTATGCAGCCAGCCTTGGTTCATTCAAAATTTGAAATTAGTCCTTCCAATCATCACAATATATATATATATATATATTCTTTTCCCAACTCCTAACACTTGAATTCTTAAATCATATTTTTACATCACATTTTAAATAATACTCTCTCCATTCCATTAAAATTATCCACTTTAATTTTAAAATTATCACATTTAAAATATATTAATAAAAAATCAACAAATAATAACACTTAAAATTTTTTATCTTTATTTCTCTCTCTTTTAGATCTATTAAAATAAACATGTCAAATCTATCAATCATATTTTAAAGAGAGAATTTTATCGTTTCTCTCCTTTTATAACTTAAATCTGTCAAAACTATGTATTTGGTCATCAGACAGGGGTACATATTTTTCAACTTTTCCGACGACGACAACAGTAAACACCTTCATTCATTCATCATTTCAAGATTCAGACTCAACTCGTGAAAAAAGTAAATTCTGACAAAGGTGTCGGTTAAACATAAGAAACAAGAGAAGAAAGTGCATCTCCTAAAATATATATTCATTTGGTACAAGATTAACCACCAGCAAACATATATATATATATATAAATGGAGGACAAGAATCCCTAATCGACACTTGAAATTTCAAAGCTGAAAATGAGGTTATCGAATCTGTCCTTACAGCATGCAGGTGGTACTGATCTCAAGCCTCCAGTTTAGATATTTGGCGCATCATACTTTTATCAACCACTCCATTCAGCTTTCCTCCATTGGTGATGTTCCGGAGAAGGATAAAGAATGCCCCAGTTCTCTTGAACACTGCTTGCATTTATCATTCAGAACTGGTGGTATACGGATATGTAACTAAACGCCCTCTACGATTACTCGACAGAGGCTGTCCTCTTTTCCAGTAAGGATTCAAGGAAAGCTGAGCACAGTTTGGTAAGGGGTGGAAGATTATGAGATGATCCACTGAATATGGTTTCCCAAGGTCTCTCAGATGGAAATGATGGAACCCAAGGAGTCTCAGGTATCTTCTTGTTAAACTCCGGTAACTCCCCATAGATGGATTCATACCCATACTGCCCTCCTTGTCCTGTCATACAAGATTAAATAATTTTAAAAATTGATAAAAAAATGATCGGAAAAATCAATACACAAAAAACATTGTTTCAGAAGAAACTAATCATAAACCGGATTACTTATGTTTGTGTTCGTGCATTTTGGGTAAAAGAAGAGCCTTCCAACATGGGAACCCAAGCTACATACACGTGATATCCTTCAAGTTCTTATAAACATGGATTGCAAATCTAGCATTTCATAAGAGAAAGAATCACATGTATGTAGCTAGGGTTCCCATTAATAGTGATAATAATCACTAGTGAATGTCATGGACTTGATTAGGATAACAAAGAGGATATGATTATAGAACAGAAGCCTGACCTTTGAGTTCAAGGGCAGAAAGACCCTCCTTTTTGCTCATGTTAACCTCATGAGCATCTTTACAGTATGGATCAAAAACAACATATTCATGATCACCATTCATGTATGCAAGCAGCACCTCAGGTGTTTTACCATCTATAATGATCTCTTCAGCAGAAGATGGATTTACTTGAAGAAAACCAAGAGCCCCGCCCTTGGCCTGAAATAATCAAATAAGGAATCATACAACATAGTTATGCACTATGCGTAAGCCAAAATTGGAGAGTGTTATACACGCGCACATTATCATCAGCATCATCAAAACATGTCTGGTGTCGCAACTACTTGAAAGCCAATAGAGAAAACATAATAAATATTCAACGGCAACGCTAAGACTACCATGTGTTTGTATGTATGTAACATATAGTTCTTCATGACAGCAATAAAGTTTGTTTTTCCCCATTTCCACTTGAATAATCTCCACCTACTCTTGCTTCAATATTTATGATTATTATCCCCAATATAAATCAATATGATAAAATTAGGAATGAAAAACCTTGCATTGGAAGAGGAATTTTCCTATTACCATATGGAATCAAGAACTAAATGCTTGTTAAATGCCCAAAACATGGAAACAATTGTTAAAAAAACTTAAAGATGACAAAAGTTGAGCACTGGTGCCCCCAAAAAGGAAAAATAGTTCTGTTTTAATTTCATGCCATGCGGATTAATTTTTCATTAAAATTACCATCATTAAAAGAAAAAAATACAAAGAACCCAAAAGCCAACTGTAATTTTTATCTCCAGAAAATAATGCTTTAGCAATATAATCTTCTCTATAGTTAAAATAACATAAAATAAATTTTGTAAATGTCAACATTTAATGTTTCTAAGCTACTAGGTCTGACTAAATTGCAAGTAGATTGTCAACCGAAGTTGCAATTCTCAAAATAGTTTATCTTTGGGCATATATATATATATCATCTTCATGAAAAGCTCAGTTTTTCACTCATAATATTGACGCTTAGAATAGAATGAGATCATACCTTCCTCACAGACCAAATTGCAGTAGGAACAGGATCGGTTCCATTGTATAATAAGATTACACCATCCCTTCCTTTAAAAGTAGTTTCATTGGATGATTCAGGAAGCAGAGCCAGAGCAGCAAAGGAAGATGAATTAACTGCAGAAGATATAGCTGCACAAATAAAAGTAACATAAAATATAACATTCCCAGAAAAAATTGAAGTAAAAAACTCATTTTCACTTAACAAATTTCATATGCGTAAAATTAAGAAGGCTACAACCTTATGAGTGCAGAAGCACAGGGCAAAATGCAAGCAGTTTCCAAGGAGAAAGAAAAGAGAACTGCAATTACGTTTTACATCTGCTGCATACTTTATATAACTTGCCTTTTCCTTAACTACTTCAAATTTTAGGTGACTAGCAGAGGGTTTATTAGATCCACGAAATTGGCAGTTAGACATTTGTACTCTAGCGATGAATTTGACATTCATTGTTCAGGCATCTATAAACTCAGCAAATTCAGAAAAAATTAATTATCGCAAAGTTCAGCAATCATCAAAAGGTTGTCATGTTGTTTTCTATATCAAAATGACTAAGTAATTTCAGTGACCTACCTTGAGATTTCAAGAAACAAAGGCATACAACTTAGAGCAGGAGGATCTCAAAATCTCTTGCTTCGATGATCATATTTAGATAGGGGTTTTTTGTGGTGCATTCAGAAAAAAATTAACCTGGGACCTCTCCAGGCCTCAGAAAATCAAAGCTCTTTGCAAGTATACTGTTAGCTGAAAAGAGAAGGAGCTTCACCTTCTATACGAAGCTTGTACGACCACGATAGAGATAACTTTGACATGCTCCAGACAGAAAGTTGTGGATTTGAACCACATGATGCTGCTACAAGATTATCCGACTTCCCAAGGAATGATAGATTTACAATTGGCTGTGCGAAACATAGAGACAAATGAGCATAAACTAATTACTAAACACACATAATACATTTTAATGTTCCATACATTATTTTGTCAAATAGAGAAACTCCCTGGTATGCAAAAACCAGGAAAAAGAAAGATGGTTCATGTTCCACCAAAAGAAAGCATAGGCAGCATAACTAAATGTAATATGGAGAATTTCCAACAGAGAAGGAACTTGAATTCTCAAATTTGTTCCTATACTCTCCCTTGATTGTCCCACTTATATGTTATCCCTGTATTTACTAAATACCTTTTTTTTTAATTAAATACTTCTATCCATCAAGACAAAGGCCCTTTGAAATCAGTATAGTCTTGTTGTTTGCAAAGACTGAGCAGCAGAGATAGTTATTACCAGAAACGGACCAGAGCATAATGGCTAGGCCAAACCCGGCATTTATTTATGTGAAAATTTTCTTATAAATAGTTTTAAAATCACAAATAAGAGAAGACCTGGTAATAACAGTTGAATTACCGTGAGAGTTTCTCCAAGTACAGCCAAGAGGACATTCTTGTATGGGTTCCATAATGTAATAAGGGTTTCAGCCGCGACAGCAAGAACAGTACCATCAGCAGAAAATGCAGCAGCAGTCATTGGCCTTTTTCTGCAAAAGGGAAGAGAATATATTGCAATAGCAGATTTATATATTTTAATCCACATGACGTAGAGAAGATATTGCCAGATATGTATTGCAAACTATCAAACTCTGTTTTTCCAAGCACACCTAAGACCTAACTAGGACATGCCAAGTTCCAGGGTTAAAAATAACTTCTGAATAGGGATTCATTAATGTGAAACACACAAGGAAAACATAGAAAATGCCCAAATGAATTTAAATATAATCAAGTAGCTTTAACTGCAACAAAAATCCCAGCAAAAATCTGCATATGCCCAAGCATAACATTCCATCCATCAGTTATGTCATTTTTTCTTAAAGAATACGGCCTAATTTATGTCTTGAACATATGTAAAACTGACTTCTACGGTGCAAGAATGCAAGTAAATTTAGAATTCATACTTATAAGAACCAACAGAATGACAAGTCCAGCTAAAATTCTGATGCATTTGATCATTCTGTATGATGTCATTGTTGCATCTCCAAACCTGAAATATCAAAAAAAACAAAAATAGAAGATTAATATCATGAAAAAGAGCAAGAAAACAAAACTATGCTGATCCAAAATTACCTTGAAGTCACCACCGAAAGATGAACTAACCACCATATTACCAGAAGGATGGAATGTAACAGCAGAAATGCCCGCATCCCTAAATAAATGTCGAGTATCATTCTGATGTTAACTTCTAACACTGATAATAAAAGATAGTATATTCTAATCTACATGAAATTCAGTTGCAACTTTTGGTATATTAATACAAATATAATAAGTGTGTCAGGACGAAGGATTTCATTTGTAGTGAAAATTCACAATTCTGAAAGCAAATTAGCTTTTTAGGGTAAAATAAAATTAGGAACTGACAAATTTTTTGGAATCTGGACGAGTGATTTTAAAAGCTCAAATATCTTATTTCAAATTCCACATTCGACCTGAAGAGGCGAAATTTAAGAAGTTTCTAGTTTTCTAGTGAGATATCAAACATGCCGAAACTTTTATCATCACGAACTCTTAACTAAAAAATTATTTGCTATACATTTCTAGATTTTTTGTATAATTAACAATATCTCTACATATTACATGATTTACTAACACCACTGCAAAGATCGTACTTTTCTTCACATTTTTCTTATTCTGCCCATAATAGCATTGTTGGTGCTACTACAAATTTTCTTTAATCTCAACAAATTCCAATAATCAAAATTTTATTCTAAAAATCCTTGTCCAAAACAATGCAATTATCTTAAATTGATGATTTTGAAACTCCTCCATCTCAAATTTTCAAAATTCCTCATCTAGATTCACCCTAATAGAAAAACCAAGGAAAAATCGTCACGGGAAAAATTGAACTACGAAATGTTAAAATGCCATATTTTCAAGCATCACGGCAGCATGAAAGTAGAGCTAGAAATAAGCTAAACTCTGGCCAATCATCAGGCATTAATCTCATCAAATTCCAATAATCAAAATTTTATTCTAAAAATCCTTGTCCAAAACAATGCAATTATCTTAAATTGATGATTTTGAAACTCCTCCATCTCAAATTTTCAAAATTCCTCATCTAGATTCACCCTAATAGAAAAACCAAGGAAAAATCGTCACGGGAAAAATTGAACTACAAAATGTTAAAATGCCAATTTTCAAGCATCACGGCAGCATGAAATTAGAGCTAGAAATAAGCTAAACTCTGGCCAATCATCAGGCATTTATTTCCTATTTCGGAGGGAGGGACTAAATGAACAGGTTCACCTGTGTGGCTCATAAACAATTGTTGACAAGCTAAATTCTTTGTTCTGAGACCCTGCTTGCCAAAACTTGAGGCAAACTAGGCCACCTATGCCCTCTTCAGCAAGTTTCACTTCAGAAGTGCTCATCAGAGAGCCATCAACAGAGAGAGCCACTGCAGTCACTATAACCTGTAAAATTAACCTAGTGGATATTAATTACAGTCAATAACGAGTAAAATTCATCACAAGACATAAAACATGATTCAATTTACCGTGGCATCATCGCCTGGTTGATGGTTTCTCTCACAAACTTGAACCTGAAAGACAGCATATTTAGAAAACTTCAACTTACAACTTTTAGCAAAAAAACAGGAACCTATGGTATTAAAAATGTTGTATTCCATTATAGTATAGCAGCATAATTGCAAAAGGAATCCATATACAGGCTACATGTCCAATAAGATTTAAGCAGCAGATATAAAAATATCCTCACCTCAGAAATTCCACGATCATCTAATAGGCTGTAAAATTGGATGCAATAATTCTCTGTACGTAAGGCAGCCAACCCAGCAGTTTGATCAAAAGCAATCCCACTATCCAAGCCTTTGTACATCTCAGGATAACAACAAGGAGCCTGAAACAACCAATATAAAAGCAATTAAGTTATATTAGAAGATAACAGAAATACATTCCAAGGTTGAGGGCATTTAAATAGAGTAACAAAGGTTACTAAAATTCAGATAGTGCTGATAAGAACAACCTTTATCCCCGAAATAGTCTTCAAAATTCCCATTGAAGGCATTTTCAGTAGATGAATTTGATTATCTGCACAAGATATCTGAAGGCCTGAGTTAGTACTTTTTGTAATAACTAAAACTAAATAATGATCTCTTAAAGAAACAAGAAGGCAATAATACATCTGTAGGTAAAAAATATACTAACAGAAGAAAGGGTAGGGTCAGGAGAGTCTATAAAATACAGCAGAGGAGATCCAATTCGTGGCAGAAATTTCTTCTTCCCAGTGTCTAGTTGCCAAACCACAAGCACTCCTTCCTTTCCACCTATATATTAGCAAGAGTCTGTGTTATAAAAGACAATTAACTTCTTTTGAGCGTATGAACAAAAGAGCCAGAGGGGAACAATGAGTGGAAAAAATCGATCTGAAGCAGGTTGCTGTCAACTATTGAAGCCAACCACCAAAAACATTTGTATCAAACTTAACACATTCAAGCACATTCTCTCTTCTCAATAATAATATGAAATTTATCATCATATGCAAATTGCAAGCACTCAATGAAAGAAGCACAATGTCACTAATTTAGGGTCCTCATAAAATAAAGAACACATTCAATTGGTGATTGGCTATCAATATCTAAATTTTGTAACATGACCAATATTGCAGAAAATTCAAAAAATAAAAAAGTCAGACCATTCTCATCTGCATGCCTGCAGTGCAAGGAACCCAAAGGCCTGAATAGATGTATGCAAAAGTTCATATGTTGTACATGTATATCAATTTTCAGTTACCTGAATACAAATATGCACCATCTGAAGAGAAAGAAAGGACATTGACCTCAGCAGAGTGCCAATGCCATGTGGAGCAAGAATCAGCATCATCATTATCCCTGACCCCAGGTTTGTCCTCTTGAATGCTTATCAACTTTTGGTTCTCAACTCCATTGCTTCCAGAAAAGGCTATATTACCAAATCCTCTCCAAGTTAAAATCCTACCTGTCACATCCCCTGCAGCTATAATTCTCTGAGTTGGATGGAATGCAATTGCAGTTATCTTCTTGGTATGGTGTAGTGTTATCTTCCTAACTGCCGCATGCTCAGATCCCAGATCAGGAACCTTCCATATATGAAGCCTGCACTTATTGCGGATGCCAAAGAATTTCCCTGATGGACTAACAGTTAAAACCTCTGCCTTTTTAGTCTGCAAAGCAACAGGAAAACATGGTACGATTTACATATGTGGCCAGTTCTTCAGGTAATCGTCAATTACTAAAATAAATAAACTTCCATAGAAATTTTTAGATTATACCTCTCCCAAGATTAATCTACCAACTAAGCGTGACTTGCTTAAGTTACACTTCCGGATCTGTCTTCTCAAGGCTTTGGTTTTCTCTTGTGTTTCCTTTGTATCTTCCGTAAACACATATGCAAAAAGGTCTTGATGCTTTCCCTTACCCTCAGATGGTATGTCAAGGAAAGATGGAATCACCTAATATTTAAGATGAAATAATAAAGAACTCATTAAATGGTCTTGTAAGGTAAAAAGAAAATCAAATTTTAATATAACAATTATAAATAGAAACTAGTCTGCACTCGTTATCAATGTAAAAAAAAATAAGCAATAATAACAGCTAGTATGCACTTATCTCCAACACACAGAAAAATTAATAAAGTTTGGAGCAAATTAGACCTGATTTGTTTCTTAACAATAGACAACCATAAGCAATTCAATTAGGCATTCATAAATATTGGCATCAAACATAGAACAATAATACACCGATTCATTATTTCTTTTAGTAGCGTTTTTTTTTTTGTTGCTCAAAAGCAACATGTTGGATAAAAAATGGGGATAGGTATTTTCTTCTTATTCAGAAAACTTTTAAGATATTATTTTCGCTATATGGTTACCATGGAGAAGATTGGCACTCGAATGTCGATAGTCTTCATTAGCTCAGGCACAGCGAAATCCCAATAACGAACAGTGCCATCAAGAGAGGCGGTCCAGCAATAACACAAAACCTTTGCGGCTGGACTCGATGGTGGTACCACTACGACCGAGGTGACGAGCGCCGTATGACCCTCGAGTGAGGTTATCTAAGTCCAGCCAACAAAAACAATAATATTGCAACTTCAGAAGATGAAATAAAGAAAAATGAAGCGCAGACCGAGGGAGAAGATTAAAGAAAAACCTGGAGGCCTGTGGCGGTGCTGAAGACGGAGACGGTGTTGGAGGTGCAGACGAGGAGTTTCTTCGCGTCGTTAGAGAAGGCAGGAGGTGAAGACACCATGCTTCGACCACCTCTCATCATCATGGTCGCGGCGAGGGACACCCTTCTCTCGGAAACTATTTGTTGTTAATCTTGGGTCTGCTCCTCTAAGCCCTAACTAAACCCAAACATTTTACCCCTCTTTTATTTATTTTCCCATTTTTATCCCTTTTATTTAAAAATATACTTCAAAAATAGCTTTTAAATTGGTTGAATAAATTTTCTTGAAAAATACCAAACGATGAAAGCTAAAATAATTTTGCCAACTTTTTTTTATTTTTATAAATTAAATAAATTATAACTTGATATGATTTATTTTTTTATAATTTTTAATAAATTATATGTTTTTTATAAAGTATTTTTAAAATAATATTATTCTTTCATCCAAATTTATTAATAGTAAAATCATTTATTTAATTAAAGGATATGTCAAATAATAAATTATTTAAATTATAAAATTAAATAAAATGTAAATTAATTTAAAATATTAAATAATTGTTATTTATGTTTTAATATATCGATAAGTTATTTAATATGATTATTCACGTGTTAAAATTCAAAGGATGATATATTAAATTATTTGTAGGTCCTATTATAATATATATGTGTGTGATTTGGTGGTGTAGACATTTATATCCATTGGTAGCAAATGAAGATGTAGGTAAACACAGAAAGCTGATACCAGAGAAATAATTAGCTTAAGGAACAGATCAGTTGGTAGCAACAGTCCATGGTTGAAAGCACAAATACTGCTCTAAACTTGTAGTTTATGACAGCAATAATTACTTGAAAGCTACCATTTCTATCTAATTACATTGGACTTGAGGGTTAATTCGTAAGAGACTTAAAGAGTGACACAAATAGCGAGACTGGGTTTCATTAGATAATTGGCTAGGAGGAGGCCATTTCAATTCCATATTGTCTCATTACAGGAGTCGCACATATTAGATTAGAACTTGACAATCCCGAATCACAAGAGGTATCGGTCCACGTTGTGCGAGTTGAATTATTCTTATTAGGGGCACCGGATTCCAACAAAAATGCTGCAAAAGGATTTGGAGGGGAATGAATCTCCGTTGCTCCTTCCAACATTTTCACCACCATGCTCATCCAAGGCCTAGAATCCGGCCGATGTTGAATGCACCACAAAGCTGTTTTCACCATTCTCTCCCCCATATCTCTGTCCTCCTCATCTACTCCGCACACCATCATCAACTCAACAACGCTTCCACTCTCAACCTTTTTCCACACCCACATCGGAAACCATTCTTGGCTTTCGGGAAGGTTCCTGTCAAGGTTCCTTCTCTTCCCAATGATCTCAAGCAGTAGCATCCCAAAGCTGTAAACATCACATTTATGTGTAATAGGATATGGCATCCAGAGCTCAGGTGCTGCATATCCCGGAGTGCCCCTTCCTCCGGTCATTGTGACATGAGTGTTATCCCTGTTGCAAAGCTTGGCCAATCCGAAATCCGCCACTTTAGGGAAGAAATTGGCATCCAAGAGAATATTCCCTGGTTTTATGTCGTAGTGGATAATCCGCTGCTGGCATTCTTCATGCAAGTAAGCAATGCCTTTGGCAGTGCCAACTGCGATGGCCTGAAGCCGTTGGAAACCCAGTTTCTTGTCCTCACCGAATAAGAACTTGTCGAGTGAACCATTTTTCATGTATTCATATACAAGAGCTCTCAGATTCCTCTCGAAGCAGAAGCCATAAAGTCGAAGCAGATTAAAATGGTGAACTCTTCCGATTGTACTCACTTCCGCCATGAACTGTTCCTCTATCCTTTTATCAGAATTTCCATACAGGACTTTGACAGCCACCATGGTTCCATTACTAAAGATTCCTTTATAAACAGCTCCAAAGCCACCCGAACCTAGTAAGTTGGTGAAATTATCGGTGGCAATGCGTAGCTGCTGGGAGGTAAATCTGATGGGCTTCTCCCTTTCCATGTCGTTGAGGAATCTATCCATGGTTAGTGTCAAAAACTGAGAGTCTGGGTAAACATTGTTGTTGCTTCCTGTTTGCTCTCTTTTATGGCATACGTATACTAAGATGGATACTTTTACAACAACGACCACTGCAAATCAGTTACAAATCACAATCCATAGTTATCCTTTCTAACTTGTATTAATTGTACAAGATTTGAATCGTGGAAAAACAACCAATAGCAAAAGCAAAGCAAAGCAACTAAAAATTTACCTACTATCACAATGATATATACGGTAGCTCCTGAACTATCCGCTGCATTACCTGTCGCCCCTGGACTTGACATTAATGAAGAGGTGAAAGTAGATCAAAATTAGTAGAATGGATTGACACGGTTTAGTTTAGAAGCCATGTAGGCTATAGATGTTGGTTAATGAGCAAGGACAAAGGAAATGACGTATGTTAATGTTTGCACACTCCGAGAAATTTCACAACACTGGGATCTAGGAAAATCCGATTATTCCAATTACAGTGTAAACAATTTACATTGAAATTGATGCATAATTTGTTCAATTCCGTGTGGGGTACATCGCCTCCTGCCTAAAAAACAAGGCCGGCCGGCAATGATATATATATATATAGGCAGGTTGGGCCCCGACATTTCTATAATATCAGGTATATCCAAGCATCTTCTTTGATATTGAAATAGTACTATAAAGTAAAAGGACATTAATTTCACAGAGAAAATTTTGTTATTCTTTGCCTATTTGACTTTACTACGTGCAAGTTATCTTCAAAAGATAATATCCAATAATCAGAAAATAGATGCAATATTTGTCTTAAACCTTGTGTAGTGGTGACTTTTCAAAAGGATAAACTACAAAATATAGGCTAAAATTAACATTAATTTTATAGACAATATTCTCAAAGTAGGAGTAACCAGGAAATTGGTTCCAGCAGCATCTATGGGAAACAATTTACTAATTAATTTTCATCTGAAAATGGTAGAAAACTTTTACCAAGTATGAACTATAATCAGCGCTACGTATTTAATATTGTATTGATTTCATTTTTTTTTTCTTGGCGTCTCTTTCCGTGAAGCTGTTGAAAAAACAAATGATTGCATGGCTATTAAGAAAAAATTTGGGATGGAAAAGAGGTGAAAAAAACAAACTTTAAAACTGCCTACATGTGACAACTGGAGACTGCTTAACTCCTGTTATGAATTTCGTTCTGATAATAAACATCTTGATCAATTGCTGCTCCTGGGTGATATTACTTGTCCAAAATACTTTTGGCTCGCACTAACTTTATAAGAAAAAGGAGAACATTTGGAAGTAGATAATTTAGTAGGTGGAGGCCATTTCAATTTCATATTTTTTCATGACAGGAGTTGCAGGTATTGAAGTAGAGCGTGGTACTATTGAAGAGGACTCTGATCCGCAGGAGGTATCGGTCCATGTGGTGCGAGAAGGGACATTGTTACTCTCCGTCAAGAAAGCTGCAAAAGGATTTGAAGGGGCAGGAATCTCCGATGCTCCTTCCAACATTTTCACCACCACGCTCATCGAAGGCCTCCATTCTGGCCGATATTGAACACACCACAAAGCTGTTTTCATCATTCTCTCCCCCGTATCCCTGTGATCGTCCTCAAATCCTAACACTGTCATTAACTCACCAACATTTTCAGTGTCTATATTTTTCCATACACACATCGGAAACCACTCTTGGCTTTCAGGAAGGTTTCTGTCAAGGTTCCTTCTCTTTCCAATGATCTCAAACAGTAGCATCCCAAAGCTGTAAACATCACATTTATGGGTAATAGGATATGGCATCCAGAGCTACGGTGCTGCATATCCCGAAGTGCCCCTTCCTCCGGTCATTGTGACATGTGTGTTATCCCTGTTGCAAAGCTTGGCCAATCCGAAATCCGCCACTTTAGGGAAGAAATTGGCATCCAAGAGAATATTCCCTGGTTTTATGTCGTAGTGGATAATCCGTTGCAAGTAAGCAATCCCTTTGGCGGTGCCAAGTGCGATGTCCTGAAGCTGTTGGAATCCCAGTTTCTTGTCCTCGCCGAATAAGAACCTGTCGAGTGAACCATTTTGCATGTACTCATATACAAGAGCTCTCAGATCCCTCTCGAAGCAGAAGCCATAAAGTCGAACCAGATTAGAACGGTGACATTACTGAAGATTCCTTTATAGACAGCTCCCAACCCACCTGAACCAAGTAAGTTGGAGAAATTATCGGTTGCAATCCGTAGCTGCTGGGAGGTAAATCTGATGGGTTTCTCCCTTTCCATGTCGTTGAGGAATTTATCCATGGTTAGTGTCAGAAATTGTGTGTCTGGGCAAACATTAGTTACTTTTCTTTTCAAGTGCTCTGCGGCAGCAGTATACCAAGACAAATACCTTTATTAGAAAGACCACTGCAATGCGTAAGAAACCAGTTAGAAATTACAATCCATAATAATAAAAAAAGAGAGGAATTCAACTGAAACTTTACCTATACCCACGACGGCAAATAAAGCAGTTGAAGCTGAAGCACCGTCTGCAGCATCGACTGTAATTGACAGTAGTGACGAGATAAAAGTAGTAGATTGGATTGACACAACTATATATGCTGATTAATAATTTGTAAAAGAATATACAATAACGTTGACATTGGGCATCTCTGTGGAAAATTTATCATTCAAACCTAGAGACCGGAGTTCTACTTGGTTCAACTCCGTGTGGGGTACATAGCTTCGGTTTTATACACAAAATTCATAACCAAGTTGATGTCTTTGTGGTTATTGAAATAGATTGAACGCTATACCCCCGCTCGTCTATCTAATAAATGCATTGGGTGGACCAAGAATTGATTCTTTAGAGGTTGATTATTCTATGCCGTATCACAGACTAAGAAATCTGTAACATGACTTTCACATTGACCATCATTTGATATTTAAAGCTTCTCTGCTTGTCCTCAGCTTTTGTCCCATGTATGATCAGCCAATCCCGAGGACATATCTTTGATTGAGTTGCAACCCAATCGGCCTACTTATTGGTTTGTCTTCGAATTAGCTTCTGAAATTTTCTTCAATAAATGTAGTGTACCAATAAAAAAAATGGCTCATTTCCCATCTCTTACCATCTAGTTTTCTCTAGCAATGCTCCTAAAGACCTCAACGTATTCTCCATTTTTTGACTACTTTCTTCGATGCTGTGAGACGAGTTATGGTTTTTCATTTTGTTCGTTGTCTGATTCCAAATATTTTGCAGCCGAGTTCTGTTTCTACTCGGGACATGTAATGTTGCAGATTGCTGCTTTTGGTTATATTACACATATTACCCATCTGAAACAATAAAAAAAAAACGGTTGAGGCAAATGCAAGATCCCTCCTTTGCAATTTTTTTTTAATTACAGAATACACATATAATAAATACACTACGTGTCTGTCACTATATCCTAAGAAAAAAGAATAAACCACGGTGAGCATTGCCAGGCAGTTCACACGAACCTTGCAGAAAAAAAAAGAACAATTTTCCAAGTTACCCATTTCAAAGTTTGATCCCGAGCCACAACAACTTGGTACACGAAATTGCATCTCGGGACAATCACCTAATACAAAAGTCCTTTGGCATCAGCAGACCCTGTTTCTCAAGTCTTCTCTTACTTTCCTTTCTTTTTCCCTATTAACCCATGTATCTTCACCAATCAAGTTGCGCGAATTCTATCTCAATCGTGGATTGGACACACTCATTTTGAGCGGATAACGTATTACTATTTCCTTTTCAAGCTGCACCTCCTCATTTAGCCATGACAGTGGTCAGATAACTGAACTTGCCAGAGATAGCTCATGGAGCTCAGTTAGCATCCACTCCTCGCCAGTTTGACCGCCAAGTACAATAGCCCTTGTCCCACCAACAACACAACTACTATGTCCCCAAGCAAACCTTGGGGGTCGCCCTGGCACATTCAGTATCCTCCACGTAGGTTTTTCATCAGTTGGGTCCAGGAGATAAAGTTGGGAAGCAGAGTGAAGACCAGCAACTGATCCACCAAAGATAAGAATTCTTCCTCCAGGAAGGCTCACGGCAACATGATCAAGTCTTGGAGGTGGAGCTATGCCACCCGGATTTCCAGCACCAGGCATTCCGCTCCCTGTTACGCATCTCCAACATGGTTCCTCCTCGCTTAGATCCATTGTGAATACATCACTAGAGCGAAACCGGAGTGGACCACTCTTAGCAAGACCCCCGAACATTAATATCTTCCGACCACCATAAACCGACAGTGTATGACCCAAACGAGAAGGTGGGGTCCATGCTACAGGTATCTCTCTCCACACAGGTTTCTCCATTGAAAGATCAAGCAGGAAAGTATCACTAAGAAGTACTCCAGAATCTGCACAACCACCAGAAACAATCAGCTTGGTCCCATCAAGAGTGCAAGAGCTGTGCCATGATCTAGGAAGAGGAGGAGCCAATCCTGAGATCTCTCGCCAGGTTGGAGGCTTTGCATCCAAATCTAGCACAAAAACATCATTGAGCAGGCCCTGCCTTCCACAGCCACCAAATACCACCAGATTGGATCCATTCACACAAGATAGTGTATGTCCCCAACGACCAGGCGGAGGAGAGCTCACCTGGACATGTTGCCACTCAGGGTTGCTGGAGTTAAGATCCAGTACAAAGGTGTCATTCATCGGTTGCATGTTTACCCCTTCACCACCAAAAAGCACAACACGATTCCCAACAGCACAAGCACTAAAGTTGCAGCGTGAAGGTTCAACAGCACCTCCAACAGTAAGTTTCCTCCATGTAGCTGCTTCAAGAGTGGTCAACTCTCTTGCCAGCCTTACCCACCCAAGTCTCTTTGCACCAGGAACCGTCTCTAAAACACGAGTAGTCTCAAGACCCCATGCATTTTGACAGACCATCCGCCAAAGATCCTCATTTTTTGTCAGCTCATAAAGTCGCCTACAGACAGAACCAACTGATGCAATATCTCTTGGTGTCAATCGTGAAAGTATCTTGAGAGACAGCACCTCATCACTCAATTGCAATATCCCACAAAGCCCAATAGAGACATTTCGGTCCCCAACTACAATAGTACAAAAACCAGAAAATCCAGAAGGGGGACGATCAGATGATTTCAAAGATTCCTTTATTGAAGATCCTGACACTGGACCGAGATCAATATTTTCCTCGGTAAAGAACTGGATTCCAATAACATGAGTGATTGTCTCATCATCTCCATATATAGGTGTAAGACGCAGTCTGTTCATTAATGGAGATCCGTCCTTTCTAAAATTCAACAACTCGCCTTGGAATTCAATTCCCTCCTCAAGGCATCTCCGTATTTCAGAAACAACTGCGGAATCCACTGATGGGTTTCGTCTTTTTGCAAATGGTCCTCTACATTGCAAGAAACGGCTGAAACAAATTACGCTAAAAATTTCAGAGCAAAGCAGAACAACTTACAACAATCAGTAACTGATCACATGATTAATAGTAATTATAATTTCTCTTTCCACAATAAATTTTATGGGCAGCAAAGTGCATAAGTGACTTTTAGAAAGTAGCACTGCATCACCTTTGTCTCCTCCCTTGTTCCAATGTGCAGTTATGATTAATAAGCATATAATCACCAACACAAACAGATGGCAACTTTCGAGGCCTCACAATCACCAAGGGAAGTAGAAATTAGCAAGAAGTTCAATAGTGTAGCAAGTCCACGAAATTTTAGGGTAGAACCAAAATATTTAATATACTTAACACAAAAGTGACTAAAACATGCTAAAACAAAACAAAGTTATTGAGCACTTCAACAAGTATAGAAGAGGGGAACTGCTTGCCAGGAGATGTCCAGCATCTGTAGATCACATGCCCCACTATCAACGTAGTTTCTTAGTGCACCACAAAACGAATAATTAATATATGCATAAATAATACAAAACATCCAAAAGAACCATAAGCAATGTGCTTATAAACACAAGCAACATAAATTTTAACACAATATTTGTTAAAAACAAAGAAAGCCTCCTCAGAGACAACCAAAGTGACAAAGACCTCTTATAGAGATGTGGGTCAAAGATGCAAAACTAGTTGAGAACAATTAGTGGTCCAATTACACAAATTACACTACGTAAGTCAGATATTGGTGTAGCTTACAAAATATTGAACAATAGAAATCAAAGATAATGGCTAAGATCATCAGTCATTTGCTTCAACTTAAAAGTACAGACAAGCACTGAAAGAATTATTTTTACAGCCACAATATAGAAAGAAATTAATAATTCATCCTATCCAACCGCATAAAAATGACTTATTCTTCCAATTCCACCAAACTAACAAATATACAGACTGCAACTTATACAACGAAGTCTCTATAATACTTCTTCAATCATGGATCATTTTAATTAAAAAAAGATGGCAACTAACTTATTTTTTCCAAATTCTTTGAAGTGTCATTTTTCAGCTTATTCACAGGTGTTCTCCAAATGAGTTGTATCTATTATCGTCCATAACTTTGTGAGTAGTCACTAGTCATTAAAATCTTTTCATATTTATTTTTAGCATCTTACAGCATCAAAAGTTGCATAAAAGAAGAATTGAAAAAGAAAAATATAAAGAAAAAGAACATGCACATAACAAATATAAATACATAATCATACACTTATTCAAACTTGGAAGGATTGAGCTGATGGATTTGAAGCACTTATGTAAATACAGAGGATTCTGAATGCTTTTCTTCTACTACTCCCTTGCTTTTCTCTCTTCCTACTTATCAGCCTTCCTTTTTATAAATATGCTTGTACCACAGCATGGTTTTGCGCGGTTCTCCAAATTTAATTATGGTCTACCTGTTTCTAGGTTTTCTTAAATGAAATACTATATCATCACACCAGCAAATCTTAAAAAAATCAATAAAAGAATTCACCCCATCCTTCCCTACCGCCCTGCCAGTGACAAGTTTGCAAGAAAAGACACAAGCATCTGACAAAATACAAAGTACACTAATTCCAAGCCTTCAAATGTCAACCCAAACTATTTCTCTTTATAGTCCCAAGCCAAAAGCCAAAAGTTGCTAAACTCTGGTTCACTGAAAATGTTTTGAAGGAAATCCAAACTATATTGAAAATAAAAAGGTTGAGCAACTTGTGAAAAAATGTTTAGCCACAGCAACAATATTCCAGAAGCGAGTACGCAATTGAGCTCATATGATACTACCAACATATTCATCATAAAAGAAAATCTGATGAATGTAATTTCCTATAACGTACAACATCAACTCTATATGGTAAATTATAGAAATCAGTTAGAATGATGAAGTTATGGTCCCACCAACATATTTTGCTCATGTCTCCCTTCAGAAAAGCTTTGACATTTAAATCATATAGATGTCAAAATGACAAAATAGAGCATTAATGATATTGCTACAAGTTCCAAACACTGTATCTAAATTTCTGACCACAATACTCCAACAAACTGTGCTGAAGCAACATTTAAAAGGAACACTAAGATTGCTAATTCTTTGGCGAATTTAGAGGGCAATCATGAAATATATGGAGATATCATCTCCTTTTCCAAATAAAAGTATAGGATAGAAACATTTTTTTGTCTCATCATTGTGCTAAAAGCATATGATTTCTGGATCCAATGGAATTCAAAGGTATAGGAAGAAGCCCTGTCAAATAAATAAAAATCTCTATCTTCTGTAAATTTTATATGAAATTTTGTTCACTGATATCATTAGAAAATAACAGGAATTATAATATAAATACAAAAGATGCCCTCTAGGGAAAGAGCCTTTACTATCTACATGCAGGATGATTTTGAAGCATTTAAAATCTACCGCAACCAAGACAGAGTGAGAAAAGAATACATGGACGAATCAATGCACAGCAAAATTCAGCGATATGCTGATATGCCATAAAAAATATCAAACTTACCGAATATATAAGCTAGTTAAATACCAACAATGAAAAAACACATTGAAGGTTCTCTTTCCAGCGCTATCCGCCTCTACTAGACCTACATAACATTCCATCTCAAAGTTCACCCCAAAATTCCCGTTAGTTACTTTCTAGTTAATGTATAATTAATAACGCATTCCCACTAAGGACACCAACATCGCACCACATTAAATTTCAAGTTTGTTCCAGAGATATTAAGGGGCTATGCACATAATTGATATGATAAGCTGCCTGAAACATTAATGAGGAGAGCATATAAAAAACCAGCTTATATAGAAACTTCAAAAGAGCACTTCCCAGTTCTAAGTTCATTAAACTGTGAAAGAATTTTGGGTTTCTCTGTAGAACAAACAATATGTAAAAGGTTATTTAATACTTGCTATCCCGGAATACGTTCAACAATCTTTAGCTATAAACACAATACTCCGATCCCCACCAAAAGGCAAATAAAAAAAGGGAATTCATAAATCAACAAATTCTACCGCAGAGATTAAAACATAGTATATTGTGTCTGCACTCAAATCATACACTAGCCAAAAGCAGCATAAGAATCTTAAAGAGCTCCACTTGAAAACACATGAGAAAACAAAATTAAAGAAGAATTATGAACAAACATAAGGAAGCAGAAAAGATTAAAGGGGCTGACCAGTTGCGGCCAAGAACTTCCTCGGCGCGATAGCCAGTAACCATCTCAAAGACGGTATTGACATAAATGATGGGATGGTCGGACTCGAGAGCATCGGTGACTACAAAGCCGCAAGGAGCGGTTTGCAGGGAGGTGGGAATAGGGAAAGGAACAGAGCCTCCCTCATTGAGAAGGAAACCGTCGTCGTCGTCCCCACTCAGATCAGAATTACTATCCCACTCCATATAATTCTAAAACAAGGGAATCGAGGCGGGGGTTCTTCTTCAACCCATGGAGAAGGAAGGAGAGAGAAGAGGATTCAGTGCGAGAGAAGGAGATAATGATGAGTGGTGAGCAATGTTTCGGGGAATTAAGTAAGGGCTTTTGGCGAGGGAAAGGGAGAGATAGACAGTTGTACACAATACATCTCATCTCATGTGCCGCTCCAAATATCTGCCCAAGCTTTCGCTTTTGGGCATTTTCGTTTTTCCATCTACTCTTTTTCTTTTTAAGTAAATTACAAATTTATTCATTGAATTTTACTCTCTTATTTTACTTACCGTACTTGTAATTTTTTCAATTTACTCACTAAACTTTATACATTAAATTTTTTTGTCACTCAACCGTTAAATTTCTAACGTCGTTAAATTAAAATTAAAAAAAAATTAAAAGTACATTAAGTTAAATAGGAGAAAATAAAATTTAGTAGGTAAACATGTAACATATTTTATTATTAAAATAAGTCATGTCAGCACCATGTTACTAAGTAAATGGTCGAGTGAAAAAAAAATTTAATGTCTAAAATTTAGTGAGTAAGTGAAATAAGAGAGAAAGTAAAGTTTAATAAGTAAGCGTATAATTTATCCATTTTTTTTAAGGCTTTCCTACCCCCCACCTTTTAATACTTTTTTATTTAATATAATTTTAAATATATTTAAAATATTAATAAAAGTTGTATGTTCCTTTTAATAATAAAAGTCGAATGTTCAATGTTGACATAAAAGATGAGACACTCGAATCCAAAAAGTTCTACGCTAACACTTTTGGTTAGTACGGATAATGCATATACTGTAAAAACATTACCGTGGAGTTAAGTGTAATAAAAATTAAAATATCAAGTACACGTCATAAATCTATTTATAAATAATTGAGGACTAAATTGAATTAAGAAATGATTATTGAGAGTGTTGATGAATCTCTTAATTTTTTTATAGAAGTCTTTGAAATATTTTTTATCAGATAGTCGATCAAAACTTTCAATACTTAATATTATATTCACACAATTTAAGAAATCGTGCAAATGAAATTAAACAGTTCGTTATTATGGGTTTGAAACTCGTGTCCCTTAATGGATATTAACGTGCAGGTATGATAGCAGTTGTAGATTTTTTTCTTTTCTAAGAAAGTTGGGAGATTCCTGGATAATGAAAGATGGTTGAAGAATCTCCTCGCTCCTTCCGAATAAGTTTGCGAAATATCATCGATCGAACAATTGACCAGACATTGTGTTTTCGAATTTTAATTTCAAGATTTTATTTCTCGACCTTCTAAATATGTTTCTCCATTAGCCCCAACACCTGCTCTTCCGGGATTTCCAATTCTAAAACCATCAACCATTTACTGGAATCACGAAGAGGCTTCAGCCTGCTACAACTTAAATTTTATGAGATGAAAAATAATATTTTCGTATCTATTCCTTACATATCTCTTGAATATTGATAAAATCCCAAGTTCAGACAACAAACAGCTATTGTAATGCATATATAAATTTGAGGAGATATGGATTGTACTTCCAACTTTTATCAGGCAGCGGAGACCGATGAGAGATTATAGACAAGCCGGAGAGCTAGTTTCTTATTGTGTCAAACTCAATTCCCAACGATATCCTCAGAAACGAAAAATTAAATAAAAACTAAGAAATAAAGAGCCTACTCTGTGGACTTATGAATCCAGGCTCCCTCGAACACGAAAAGCTAACCGCTCTATAGACTGGTCATCAAAAGTACTATCTATCTCCTTAATTTTGGACACAAAGTCCATGGCTTCTTTGTATTTTCTTGCTTTACAGTAACCATCCACCACAATCTTGTAGGTGAGTTCATTGGGTCTGCAGTTGTGCTGAATCATATGGTCAATAACATCATCCATTTCGGCAAACGTTCCCTGTGCAGCATAGCCTGACACAAACGTGTTGTAAGTAAAAATACATGGCCGAATCCCTTTAGCTGTCATTTCAGAGAAAATTCTTATGGCCTCCTGCATTAGCCCTTTCCTGCAAAACCCTTTGATCACAGTGTTGTATGACACCACATCTGGTTTTCCACCGGACTTGTGTAATCCTTTAAGGATTTCTTCAGCTTTCCAACACTCTCCTGCTCTGGCATACATATCCATCAAGCTGTTGTAGGTCACAAGATTAGGTGTCAACCCACTTTCACGAATCAAGTGTAGCATCTCATGGGCCCTTTCGTACATGTTGTTCTTTGAAAATATAGAGAGCATTGAATTGAATAAAACCAAATCAAGTTTGTATCCGTTTTTCTGTAATTCATAAAATGCTCTCTCCATACCCTCTACTGCTCTACATCTGCAGTTTGCCAGAACAAGTGTTCTTAACAGCATCCAGCTAGGATAGATATGACCATCACTAATTTCTTTCTCAATCTTCTCTATCCCTTTCACATTCCCTCCCTTGGCATAACATTGAAGCATCAATGAGTATGAGGTTTCACTAGGCCTGAAACCCTTACTCTTCATGTCTAGAATGATAGATTCTGCTGCTTTCCAGTCCCCTCTTCTAGCTAAAGCATTGAGAAGAGCATTGTAAGTCGTAACACATGGTGAGAACCCTACTCTAATCATCTCCTTGTACATTTTTGTAGCATCAATATCTGCCCCACACCGGCCGTATGCACTAATCAAAGTGTTGAATGTATCTCTATCAGGCTCAAAACCACAGTCCTTCATTTCCCGAAAGACTTGGTTGACATACTTGTGCATGCCCTTATTACCACACATGGCAAGCATTGTGTTCCATGTAATACGGTTAGGGGAACAACCATTTTCTTTCATGTCGCAGAGTATCATTATCATCTCCTCAGATCGTGACTTCTTCCCTAACATCCCAAGCACTGCGTTATAAGTACATACATTAGGGACACAACCTGACTCTTTCATCCTACTGAACAATCTCAAAGCCTTTTCTTCCTTTCCAGCTTTACCGTAGGCATTGATGACAGTTGTGTATGTAATAGCATTTGGCCTTACACCTTTCTTTGTCATTGTTTCAATAACTGCAGCCCCTTCATCATAAAACCCCGCCCTAACATACGCAGCTACAAGTTCATTGTATGTCACAGAGTCAGCCGGGCAATTGTTCCCCTCCATTTCTTTCAAAATGTTTAAGGCCTCGGAGTAGACCCCTGCCTTCCCAAACACCTGTAGTAAAGCATTGTAGGTGACCGTCCCGGGAACATAGCCCTGCGACTTCATTCCAGAAAAGAACTCTTTTGCTTCATTCAACAATCCTTCTCTCCCACAAGCTGATATCACAGTACTGCAAGTAAACTCATCGAACTTGAGTCCTTTGCTTCTCATTTCATCCAAAAGTCCTAAAATCTTGTTCCAAGACCGACCCATCCTACCATAAACATCAAGCATGACATTATAGGTAACTAAAGTGGGAGAAAGGCCCATCTCCTTCATTTTCTCAAACATGGATATTGCCCTTTTGTATTTACCTGACCGGGAATACGCATGAAGGATAGTAGTATAAGCTCGAACATCAAGCGAATATTCCTCTATGCGAATCAAATCAAACAGTTTCAGAGCAATTGCATACTGCGACTCTCTCCCCAGAATTCTGACCATTAGTTCAACAACCTGATTGTCTAATTTAAAATTATTGAAGCCTATGTCCGAAACTAGCCATTGAAACAACACGAGAGCTCTTTCCCAGTCCCCTGAAAGGTCTAAAGCTTTCAGTAAGCTAAGCATATCAATTTGAAGCAGCTCAAACTTAACAGAGTCAAATAAATCAGGCAAGGCATTCAAAGGCTGTTCCTTGATGGAATTAAGCATACGCATACCCTGTCTTGTCAAAAATTCAAGACACCCATCTCTGGATAGACCTTCCTCTTCCTCTCTACCGTTGTCTAACTGAAGAACTGAAACTGCAGTGGGTTTTGGATGAACTCGGTGGTGAAATTTTGAAGTGGATTGTGAAGAAATATAAAGAGAAGTGGAACGGGAATCGTCGGGTTTAGGAGGATTAATAATTTTGGGGTTGAGGGTAGTGTTGGGTGGTGAAGAAATGTGAAGAAGGTGCTGGAGAAGAGAGTCAAGAGGGAATGAAGGAGGGGAACGAGATGGAGATGGAGATGGAGGAGGAAGTGGAAGTGGAAGTGTTACGGAGCTGAATTTGACAGGCTCGCTTGATTGAGGTGGTTTCTTGGAAGGGGCAGGATAAACTGGTTTATTGGGAAAGAGCGCGCCCTCCATTGATTCCCTAAGAAGCAATTGGTTGCTGGGAAGCTTTAGAGAAGAAGGGTTTCAGGTTAAGGGGAAGAGATTGAAATTGAATGGAAAAGAGAGAACAGTCAAAAGAATGGTTGGCCTTTCTTCATTGAAGATGGGAATTTGGGTACAAAATATTTGGTGCTGGAGCCTCCAACATTTTAATTTTCATCAGTTTATCTACTCTCCCTCAATGCCACTCCATTACTTTCATGCATACGCCGCGTTTTGTCAACAGATGTTTAGGAATTCTCCATATTACCTATAAAATTTTAAATTTGTCTTCCTCTCTCTATCCCTTACATACATTTGATGTGATTTAGGAGTAGTTTAATTTTTTTTACTGTTTGTGTTTAAAATTTAGTATCCAACTGCCCAAGCAATATATATCAAACTTCTGTTGATTGCTTATTATTAATTCAGTCATTTTTGACAAGCGTGATGTCTTTTTGGAAAGAACTTGTAGTGAGTGAAGTGGAACCTGGTGACTATGGTGGGGAATTAGCAATTCATTCCTTTGCCTCTACCCCAGCTTAGTTGAGCCCAGTCTAAGGTTCCTCATCTTCTTCCAACTTTTGGATGGCACTCGATTCCCCTTAGCCCGCTCCCACATAGGCTACTTAAATAAGACTTATGCTTCAGACCCAATCCCGGTATTAACAGTTAACACATTAAATCTTCACTCCATCCTTAGAGGAATAGTGAAAATTAGTCTATAATGTTTGCATAAATACTGATTTTGATTCTTATTTTTAATAATTTAATTTTTGAAAAAATAATTTTTATAGGATAAAAACATTAGTAACTAAGTATGATCGCATATTGTTAACATGTTATTTTTAAATATTTTAATTATTGATTTAACATACATCATGTCATCCAAAATAATGTATCACATCACCAATTAAACACATATGAAAATGACACGTTAGCAACATATATTAACAATTAGTCAACTAACGATTTTTATCCAAAATAGATTATTTTAACAAAAAAGTCAAAATGATAGACTTAAAAAAATAAAAATAACACTGAGAACTAATTTTATCATTATATCCTTTTGAAACACGTATTCGTGACAAAACTTTCTACTGTTCGACATTTGTACTGGTTTAATTTGCTTTAGACCTACCTAAAATCAAGTCGTGTATCTCCATTCAAATTAGTTTCATAAAATCCATAATTTTCCTTACCTAATAAACAAAATTAGAGGATTGGATCACTTTTTAAACTCTGAATATTTAAATTGAGATATCATTATAAAAGACCATTTCTTTTTGGCTTTAATTGGGCATGAGATGTAAATTAATGCCTCCCAGATCTTCCACATCTAAAACGAAATTAGTTTTATATACAAAAGAATGTATATCCGTACAGTACAGTGGCAGTAAGTTTTAATTAATTAATCCGTGCTAAAAGTAAAATTACGACAATGATGGATGACATGCGTTTAATTAGTTATGTAACCCTTTTCTTGGTCATGAGCCAAATTATCCTTTTAATGCTGCCCCTCACCCTCACAGAAGGGGATGGGTCGTGCTAAAAACAGACGAGGTTAATGAATTTTAGTGTTGGAATTTAATAGAGAGATTCACGGGCTCCAAAAAATGCCTACCTCTAGCGAAGTTGTTCGGGACATGTTCACAAATCACAATGATTTGGCCTTTTTTACAACATCATGATTAATCATTCTATTAAATTATAGTTAGAAACCATTTATTTTGGTTAGGGATGGGCATGGGTCGGGTTTTTGGTCCACCCGACCCGATAACAAGAATCCGTTCGTGATTCGACCCGACCCGATATATAATTTAAAAATCCTGGCCCGACCCGAAATAATAAAAAAATATTATTTTTAATCAATAAAATTAGTGACTTAATTGAAAAAAAAATTATATATAGGGTATTATTATAATTAAATATATAAGGTAAAATTATTTTTCGAGCTAGGTCGAGTCCCATGTTCATCCCTAATTTTGGTTGACGGTGTTGGTTAATGCCGGTGTTCATAAAAGAAAATTCACTTGAAATTGTCAAATGATTCCACTAATTATACGTATTCACGGGTCAAGCTTGGAATGGAATTTTGTAATTTGTATTGCCTTCAGTTTTAATACGGCTCCAATTACCGTTAAAGTAATAAACATTTATAAAATATATAATTATTTTTAATATATAAAAACATTTCAAATAATAAAATGTGTTTTTGAACGATCCCCTATCCTAGACCAACCAATTATTTTACTATTCAGGGGCAACACCAACGGTAGACGGTGGCCCTGGCCACAATTGATTTGGTAAAATTCTTCTTTTGATCCCCTGAGATGGTAGAGTTGTCAGATAATAAAATGGCAAAATTGTACGTCCATCTTAACCCTTTTATTGAAAAAATTCTGGCTTCATCTTGCGTCTAGGCCTCTATGGTATCTAAGCTAATGCCGTTTTTTTAAGTCATCTCGTGTTAATGGCAATGAAGCAAGCAGTCTAGTTAGGTATACGATATTTTCATGCCAGAAAAAGAGTTGCATTTTTAATAAAATGGATGATTGTTTGTATGGTGTTGAATGCAGTGGCAGCTTTGTATCAAAACTCAAAATATTTAAACCGAGGGTGGGTAAAGAAGAGCAATAGAATCCTGTGGAGCCCCAAAAATATTTCCTTCACCTGTTGAGAAATGTAAGCAATAATGGCACTTCCCACTTGTGTAAGTGGAACTTATTGTGTATTTTCCACTCTCTCTTAAAAACTTTGGATGATTCAAAGTATCCAAACCAAACCCAAACTCAGAGGCCATTGCCGAATCAGTTAGTGAGGATAATATAGCCTTTACACCCCCAAACAACACACATGATTCTGAAGAATATATGCAGCTGTTTCATTCATTATTGATGCTTCTAAAAACAAGACCTGTAATGAGGAAAATAATAAGAGGATGGATACTTCATCTAGGGGAGATGCTTGCTTCTTTGGTGCCAATAATTTCTTCATCTCTCTCACTTTTTCCAGTCCAACTTTGACATCATTTCATTCCATACTCTCTTTTTTCTTTTATTGCTATTTTAATGGTTTAGGGTTCGCCTTTTTTGGGTCATAGCCTTCAGGTGGGGACCTTGGGGTTTCAATTTTTTGTTTGATGGGTTGCTGACTCTAAATTTGCGGTTGTCCTGAAGAGCTAGAGTTGACATATTGGAAAATATGGTGGTACAGCTTGATATTGGATCGAAAGACGACATACCATTTGGATTGCTATTGTCATGTTTCAATCTCAATATCTTTGTGACCTAACCCCCACCTCTTGCTTTAATGCCCATGTAATTTAATACATTGAACCTTGTGATTATTGAGGAGAAAAGGAAGGTTAATGTCATGTAATTAAACCTAGACAAGAAGATTCTGCCCTAACAAGATTTTAGGGGTGAGGAAGGTTACTGCCACTTGAGAGTTGTCTGCAACTTATTGATCCCATTCACATGACATTTGATACGCGTTGGCTGGCAGCTAAGTCCACATCACTTTGTCATACCAGTACTCGTATTTGTAGGCTTTTTCCTGTTTCTAATATATGTGTGAACTTGTTATATGGTGAAATTTTAATGGTACGGAATAATTAATAATGTGAAAACAATAATAGATATAATTTATAATACAAGAATAAGAAATACGGTGAGTGTTGCTAGAAATGAAGGGTATATCCTCACGAGAAAGACGGTGATGGTCACATGAACACATGTTAGCTTGCCTTGGGACAACTTTTATTGTGGAGTTTGAATAAAACTGTCCCCCCTACTTAAATAATCCAACGCACCCGACGTTTGATAAAACGATTCTCTTGTTAGAACAATATTAAATAATCTATCTTTGATATTTAATAAAATGATTTTTTAAACTTTGTTGAAAATACCTTAACTCCCAACATTTTATTTTAAGACAAAGTATTTTTGATTTGATGAAAAATATTAGTCGACTAATATTCAACATTTGTAATTGACATGACAAATCTTTCGTGTTGAAAGTAATGATGCGAGTCCTATAATATACGAATTGGAATGAAAAGATCATCTCATAATGGATTTCTGTAATGTTTAGTATGAATTAATTGATAAAAAAAATTAAATAAAAAATAAAAGAAAATTTCAATGGAGATTATCCAACCAACCGGATTACATACGTTGCGTATTTGTATACTAACGTGAATTTTAAACATAAACCATGATGGATGTTCCACAATTTTAACTTGTTTCTATTACATAAACCGTCAATTGTCTATAATTACGCATATAATAAATAATATATGTAATTATCAAAAACATATGTCACATATATACTACAAAACAGAAGAGTAAATCAATCTCTCTTTCGAAAGGACCAACAAAGCATGCTGATTCAATTAGCACCATTAACGGCACGCCCTCTCTCTGTAGAAGTCCATTATTTTTCCCTTTTTAAACGCATAATTTTCGTATTCAAAGTGGAAAATTAATTAGAGACTCAAGGTTGTCAAATAACGACAACTATAATCAGCACCATTTTTGGGACTGTTAATTACCATTTTCAATCCCTAGTCATCTTTGATTCAAACAACTTGCTCTTTCCTTCATTTGTTTTATCATTTCTTTTCTTGAAAGCTTTCTCTTGCAAGGTCGGTTTTGGTAGTCATTGAAAGAAAGAAATCAATTTATGAAATACTTCTAGGGTGTAAATGAATAAAGTATTTGGTGAATTGTTCATACAACATTATTTATATTCGTTTGTTAAGTTAAATAATCGAGTTTGAATAAATTTTTTATGTTCATTTAATAAACAAACAAACACTAACAGGGATGTGTTCTATTCGTTTTTGTTCACAAACAAACTCTTTTATTGACTCGTTCGTTTATGTTCATGAACAAACTCGTTTACATGGTTCTCCTTTTCTTTTTCGTTTTCTTTTTAAATATTGGTGAAGATATGGACTGAATTAAACATGTGGTAAAAGTTAAAATTTAAACTATGAATTTTAAGTAGTTTAAGCACTAGTGGTGTAATTTTATCATTTTTCTTTAGCTTGCAAATGAAAGGATAAAACTAAAAATTGAAACAATTACTAAACCGACACTAAACGAATATATTCACGAACGCTAAATGAACACGTTCGTAAACATATAAACGAACACACTCCCAAACATCAAATGAACATGATCACATACAATAAATAAATGAACACAAAAACTTAAAAAAAAAAAGAATAAACGAACACAAATATAACATTATTCGTTCAAGCTTGGTTCTTTTATACCCTACATACTCTTAATTTAAAATGTTAAAGGAATCCTACAATTGTAGCACTGTGATAGAAATTTATAAGAATTTGCTTCTAAGCGAACAATTTAATTATAACTAAAATTAATAATTTCAAATATATAATCAGAATGTTAACGAAAATTGTTAATGCACAAAGTGAGACCTTTAGTGAATTTAATGGTGTTTAATTGTTTATCTAAATATAAAAGTTGTTTCTAGCCACAAAGTTTTAGGAATTGATTCAAGTTCCATTACCAGCAATTTTTAAATCCCCTTAATGCGAGAGTTTTGGCTATTTCTTGCACCCTCGAGAGTGCGGGAGGATATGAGACGCTTCTCACATCCCATCGAAGATTTGAGGACCAAATTATATGAATAAAATAGAAAAATATACATCTCAGGACTACAATATTAAATCGTTAAAGGATTCATAAATAATTAATTAGCATACGACATTTCATGTGAAGGAGTTGAAACGCCCTTCAAATATCCTAAAAAAATTAAACATGACACACATATAATAATATTAAATCATAATAAATAAAACTTGAACTTTTTTATGAAAAAGTTCAAGGCCTAACATTCCCGATTTCTCGAATTGGATTTTTGAGTTGATAGTCATAATTTCTTTTTAGAATTAAAATATTCATTTAAAATGTTGAAACGTATGTAAATCGATAAGTTTAATAGATTAAGTGATGGTTCAATCTAAGATTAAATTGGAAACTTAAAAGTGATAATTGAAAGTCTAAGGACCAAATTACAATAGAAGAAAAAGTGAAAGATTTGCATGGAAAGTTACTCATTTAAAAGAATAATGAAATTTCATGATTAAGTGTCAAGCTTATATTACTTAGAAATTGATGATTAAGTGAAATTATTGGAATTTTAGAAACTTACTAAATTAGAAAAAATTGTGTAAAAACGCAATAATATTTCTTTATCTGATTTTACGTCATCAAAACCGGTTTAGAAATTGATAAGTTTGAGGACATGGTCTTTGACCTACTTCCCCGTCTCCTACGTTGTCAAATCACTCAAATGTGTCCAAAGTAAGTGCTCAACTCAAACGCATCATTACGTACAATAACAAACGCTTATACTCAAACGCATCATTACGTACAATAACAAACGCTTATACCCAACCTTCATCTACTTTCATAATTTAAAAACATATATGATCAGTATATACGGCACGTCCACTGTCCCAATATGTATATCAAAATAGGAGATAGCTTCTCTTTCGAAGATCAAGAGATTCTAAAACTTTGCGGTCAGATCGGATAGGTCTAGATTTAATAATCAAGTTCGTTATGACACGTGTCACGGAATGGTTGGAGAGTTTTATATCCAGTAACTATGAGACACAAAGGTGACCGCACCGAACGCTTTCCGTAAAAACGGTCCTACTGGCTAATACTAATAGTAGAGACAGGTTAGGTGTACCACCAGCTACTTGCTAGACAGTGTTAACATTCACACACTGCTCATTGGCACATTCCCCTATAATTTACACCCTTTTCTTTTCCTATTTCACTAACCAATGCATTAAAAAACACTTTTTACTTAAATTTGGTATATCCGTGACTGTTCTTAAAGCAGTTTGTTATGTTTTATTACACAGGTATTTAGTTATTATATAGGTAATTTTTTAATGTGAAATTTAGAGACACCATCATTACTATAATAATAATAATGTATAGGTTGCTTAAACGCATTAATCAAGTTCTCAGGACTCTATAAATATTACTTTAGTTTTTAATCATTTTGTATTAAAAAATCATTCTAACAGGAATCCTAAAAGAACTCTTAAAATTAACGCAAGTAGCGTTATACTTTTGATCAATAATGAAAAATTGTCTTATACGTTATACTATGTTAAATGATATTATTCTTTTAAAAAATATCGTTTCATGATGAGTATGAATTTATTTAAATCATAAAATTAGTAATTTTATATAATACATATATATATATATAATATTTTTTAAAAATACCTATAAAATAAAATTTGAGTAATACATCAGTCTCTTAATTTTTTTTGAACAAATACATCAGTCTTTCTTAAATTCAATAATTGAAACATTAAATAATTTTTTTGTGCAAAAATAATAATCCTTTGGCCATATTTTTAGTCGTCCGTTGATTAAATTTAAATGAAATATTAATTGAAATTGAAGGTATTATAATAGTAATTTCGAATTTCTTGATCTTAGAGCTACAGTTATCCCTTGGCACAATTAATTCGGAGTGAGAGGAACTGTAAAATAAATAAATAAAGAAAAGGCCAAATAAAGGGAACAATTAACTAACATTGAACCGAGGACAAGGCATGCGGTCCATACATAACCGCTGCTAGCTCCTGCCCTGGATTAACTCTCTTGTCTTTTACTCCTCGGTTCTGAAGCAAGTACCGATCCAGTACTTCATAAACCATAATACTAAAATAATAAAATACCTACTTTTTCAATAATTTTTATATGCTTTTTATCAGATTGTAAGAGATATGGAGTATTTTTTGTTTTTTCTTGTTATTTTATTTGTAATAAAATTATATAAATTTGATTTTTTTTTCACGTCAAGTCAATGTATATTTCATTACATAATTTATGCATTCAATATTTAAAAAACATTTTTCTCCCAATTTCAAGACTTGATATTGATTAATCTGGACCAACCTACATCGCATATTTAACTTTAGTTGGTGAGTTCCCTAGTAAAGATTTTCTACATTCACGATGGCTCGAACTCGAAACATTACTTAAATGATATCAAACTACTTATCACTTGAATCAACCCCTATTAGTACAGCAAAACACTATATTAGTATTTGAACATCAAACTATTTTTAAGGAGAAGTAATAGTATTAAGCTAGTTACAATTATGTTCAAATAATTATATATAGAATATGATTGTTAGACGTGGTTATTTTTTAAAAATGGATTATTATTGATGTAAAATAAATAAATTTTAAATTTATTAAATGTTATACATGGTTAAGAAAAATTGTGAACAAATATATCTTATAATCACCTTAAGATTATTAGAAAAAAAAATTGAATCACATATATGCTTTATTTTGATTTACATTGCAATACATAAATTCTAAATTAATATATAATTGCACATAAAATTTTAATCTTAATTTAATAATACATATAAAAGTCATTTTCATTCAATAGTATTTATTAAAAACAAATGAAGTAATTTATACAAGAAAAGGTATAAAAATATCACATTAATATAAATTAACATAACTATTTTAACGTATGAACCATTTCACTCCTATCCATGATGTAAAGGATGAGTTTGTTTATTTTTCTCATTTACTATTTTGAGTCAAATACAGTAGTTTTAATCCTTCATTTTTAAATACCAATGTCAAAATGGTTAAGGTATGCATTATAAACTGTACAGTATGTAATTCATTTTTTCCTTTTAATATGTGTCTATGAGGGGTGTTAGTGGGCACATATCATGCTGTTTCTGGACCGTCGTGGTGTAGCCATAGTGTTTGAGAAGCAATTTTCGCGCTTCTTAATTGCCTGCCTTCCCTTTACCAGGTGCTGCATTCTTCAAGCTTCTTTCATTTGTTTTTAGAAGTTGGACTATAAACCAACTTAAGAAGATGCAGATTGCAAACATTGGTCGGATGCGGAGTTCGACGTTACAAAGAGACATGGAAATGAAGCAGCCCATACCCTAGTTAGTTACACTTAGTTTAACACTCATTTTTGTTGTTGGAAGAATAGTTGGATTCCATACATCAATTTGTTATTTCAACTACCATTATTATTATTATTTACTAAATCAAATGATATTTATCTTCAAAAAAAGGTTGAGAATGCTCTGATGATCAAAGATGATGAGATTCTAATATTTTCGTATGGTAAATTACTCACAAACATTAATTTATAAAGAAAATATTAATGTCAGTTTCAACACTAGAGTCATAATAAAATAATATAATGGATTTTATTTCTTTTAAAATAAAACCTTAATTAACGGCAGTCGACCCATATGGAAATTACCATGCAAAGGTAGAAGCATGATTGCATGAATGACGTGATGATGAACCATACATTATACATATACGAACCGACAACTCAGCCGGTAAGAGGAGAGATAGAAAAGTGAAGGCAAACGCAATGACCAAAAAGAGGAAGAAGCAAGGTCCCACCACCTATAGCCTAAACAGAGTAAATAAATCTGGCCAAAGCCAAGGCTTTTATTGTATGATAATATTCGCCTCACTTGTTCTACCCTTGGAGATCTGCAAGCTATATATAAAAGCCCAGCCTTCAATCCCTTCTCCATACCAAAACCAGAGCCTCACGAGAAAGCTAAAAAGAAAACTCCCATTCCTCACCCTTACCCCAACCTTTTGTTTTTAGGGATTCTGGAAATCTCAATCAACGGTTTTCACTTTCTGTCCCAAAATCAAATCTCTATCTTCATTCATTTCATCGTTCCACGAGATTTGACTTCACCTTTTAGTACCCTTTTCTGTACTTGCTCTTGGAAACAAACATGGGTGCTATCAGTCTTGAAGAGATCAAGAACGAGACTGTTGATCTGGTAACTTTTTATATTTTCATTTCTCTTTCATCTTTCTTATTCTTCTGTTATAAAATATGTCGAAAATCATACAAGTATGTTTTTTTTTGCCAAGCTGTTGAGTTTATTTATTATCCGTAAATGAGATACACAAGAGGCAGTGTTCGTAGTTTACCCAGGTTCATGTCAGTGCTCTTCTTCCACTTTCGTCTCCGTCTTTCCCCATTTTCCTTTTACTATGTATAGCCTGCTTAGCTGAGTCACGTAGTGGGAGACTTTCATTCTCATTTTACCCTGAAAACCTTTTATCGTACTAAAAGCAGGATTTTCATAAGAAAAAAAAATACAGATTTTTGTTAACAAGTGGATTTTCGCTTTATTATCTTTGAGGTATTTGTTAACGTATTATCTATATTATTATTTATGGTATGGTATAATATTGTATTAAATGCAGTAATTGATCATTTTATTTTTAAACTAAATCTTTTATAAAACATAAATCATGAAAAATCACTAAAGTTTATCTAAATGTCTCTTTATTAGTCGAGGCTTCACTCAGTTGCCATTTTATTCACAAAATATTATCCTTTGATTAAGGAAACTAATCCCAAGTAAAAGAAAATGGATTTTTTAAATTAAAAAAGTGTTTTTAATAAATTGTTTCAATAAAAGTTGTAGACATATGAAGAAAATTTAAAATAAATTAATATTTTTTAATATAAGACAGTATTTGTTTCAAGATTTTCACTCATTTGACAATAAACTCTCATATAAATTATGATTTTTAAAATGATACTGTAATAAAATAATCTAATATATGTAGAAATTTTAAATAATTATAAGCTATGCTTTTTTTTTGAAAAAAAGGCCAAATAAACGGTGTACAACGTTAGGATAATTTTAAAGGAGTAACTGAAAATAATTGTTTAAATTATATTTTTTATTTAATTGTTTAAAGTTTGTTTTGATAAATTATATTATTAAAATTTTATTCATTCATAACAAATAAATCATATCAATATAGAAATGAAATAGAGGAAAACACTTGTGGTATATTATCCTTATGGCCAAACAGGCTGTCGAGTGAGTAATCTCCACTACGGATCTAAACATGTGAAAGAGGGACATGCCAGATCTGTCTTAAAAGTCGGTCAAGCGTACTAAATAATTATTTGATTTGAATAAATCTTATTTGTTAATTATTACTCAAATACATTATGATTTTAAATTACAAGTTAAATTAAAGATCAAGTATCTAATGGAGGAGTATTTAATATGTTTTGTTATTAAAATTTAAAAAATTATAAAATAATTATTAAACAAGGCAAATTATTATAAAATAATATTTGTTTTATAATATTATTATAAATTAATATTAAAGATTATTTTGTTATAAAAATAAAAATTATTTTATAATAATATGATAAGTTTAAAGACGATTTTATAATAATAGGATAAATTTAAAAAATTACTGTATTTTATAATATAAAAAGTTTAAAGAATTCGTTTGTTTTGGTAGTGTAGGAATTTTAGGTAGTTTTTCCGTAGTACTTCCTTCTTCTGCCCTTTCTCTCTCCTTACTCCTCTATCGTCTGTTACATAAATCCTGCTTAAATTATATAATTAAAATATGGATATCCCGTTTTCATACATTGCACTTAGAATGAAGCGTGAACTACACGGACTAATCACATGCGGAAAAGGTGGGAAGTGTCCCCCTGAGTGCTGACATGGCACGTTTTGATTTTCTCACGGCGCTAGTCAACGCATTCTTATTTTTGGGTAGCATCCCAAGGCCTCGAGTTCTATGACGAGTTCACGGTCCCTTGAAAAATACTTAATATATTTCCAAGTATCTGCTTAAATTTCGGATCCATATCCAAAGGTTTTACATAGGTTATAGTAATTTCTGTATGTAAAGTATGCTTTCATATTATTTCGCACGTCAATTGTGTAAATCAATGCAAATTATTAAATATCCTGAAGTTATTTTTAATGATCTTTAGATTCATTTTATAACACGAACAGAATAAATTGGATGGTGATATTTACAGGAGAAAATCCCAATAGAGGAAGTGTTTGAACAGTTGAAATGTAGCCGAGAAGGACTGAGTTCGGAGGAGGGAGCCAGCAGGCTTCAAATTTTTGGACCCAACAAATTAGAAGAGAAGAAGGTAGATTTCCATTATACAGTGGCCTATCACCGCATTTAAATTTGATTTAAAAATTGCTGTCAAGTCATGATTTGTAATTTTAAATGACCAGGAAAGCAAATTTTTAAAGTTTTTGGGGTTTATGTGGAATCCGCTGTCATGGGTGATGGAAGCTGCAGCAATCATGGCCATTGCTTTGGCTAATGGTGATGGGAAGCCCCCAGATTGGCAAGACTTTGTTGGTATTGTTTGTTTGTTGGTAATTAACTCTACCATCAGTTTCATTGAAGAAAACAATGCTGGCAATGCTGCTGCTGCTCTTATGGCTGGTCTTGCCCCAAAAACCAAGGTATATAATACAAGATTTCTTAATATCCTTCTCACGATGCCTAACAGTTATTTTAGTGATTTAACGGTTTATTATCTGTTCTGAGTATAATGATATTGAATTTGAGTTTATATAGGTGCTTAGGGATGGCAAATGGACTGAACAAGAAGCAGCAATTCTGGTTCCTGGAGACATCATTACTATTAAACTGGGAGATATTGTCCCTGCTGATGCCCGTCTTCTTGAAGGTGATCCCTTGAAGATTGATCAATCTGCCCTTACAGGTGAATCACTTCCTGTGACCAAGAACCCTGGGGATGAAGTCTTCTCCGGTTCGACTTGCAAACAAGGTGAAATTGAGGCTGTTGTTATTGCTACCGGTGTTCACACCTTCTTTGGTAAGGCTGCACATCTTGTGGACAGCACCAACAATGTAGGACACTTCCAAATGGTGCTCACTGCCATCGGAAACTTTTGTATTTGTTCCATTGCCATCGGTATGCTGGTCGAGATCATAGTCATGTACCCCATTCAACATCGCAAGTACCGGGATGGAATTGACAATCTCTTGGTTCTCTTGATTGGTGGTATTCCCATTGCTATGCCCACTGTTTTGTCCGTGACCATGGCAATTGGGTCTCACAGGCTGTCTCAGCAGGGTGCCATTACCAAGCGAATGACTGCCATTGAAGAAATGGCCGGTATGGATGTTCTTTGTAGTGATAAGACGGGAACATTGACACTTAACAAGCTGAGTGTTGATAGAAACTTGATTGAGGTGTTTGCAAAGGATGTCGATAAGGAGCATGTGTCCTGCTCGCAGCAAGAGCCTCTAGAACTGAAAATCAAGATGCCATTGATGCTGCCATTGTTGGAATGCTTGCTGATCCAAAGGAGGTACCCGTTTCTTCCCTCTTCTGTTTCTTGATTTCAGGAAATGGCCCTTGGATGAGTATTTATGTTCAATATGCTATTCATACAGGCAAGAGCTGGTATTAGAGAGGTGCACTTCTTGCCTTTCAATCCTGTAGACAAGAGAACTGCTTTGACTTACATAGATTCAAACGGTAACTGGCACCGAGCAAGCAAAGGTGCTCCTGAACAGGTAATTTTGTTATCATAATTTGCCGCATGTCATATATGAAAATTTATGACTTAATAATTTCATGTGTCTACAGATCTTAACCCTTTGCAATGCAAAAGAAGATGTTAAGAAGAAGGTTCATTCTATCATAGATAAGTTTGCAGATCGTGGACTTCGGTCATTAGGTGTTGCAAGACAGGTTATTCAAGAAGTTCTAAATACTTTTCCTTTGTTTTAATATTGAAAGTTCGCTTACCCTTCTCCATTTCATATACTTTCAGCAAGTGCCAGAAAAAACAAAGAAGGTGCTGGTACTCCTTGGCAATTTGTTGGTTTGTTGCCTCTGTTTGATCCACCAAGGCATGACAGTGCAGAGACCATCCGCAGAGCTCTTAATCTTGGTGTTAATGTCAAGATGATAACGGGTAACTGAATCCTTTTACAAGTTCATCTATGCACGATTCCATCACTAGTAATTCATTCTTTGAAGCCATTACTCACGTACTTTTTGCATTATGTCCAGGTGATCAACTTGCCATTGCAAAGGAGACCGGCCGACGACTTGGAATGGGAACAAACATGTATCCATCTGCTTCTTTGCTTGGTCAAGACAAGGATGCAAACATAGCTGCCCTCCCCGTGGAAGAGTGATTGAGAAGGCAGACGGGTTTGCTGGCGTCTTTCCAGAGCACAAATACGAAATTGTGAAGAAGTTGCAGGAGAGGAAGCACATTTGTGGAATGACTGGAGATGGTGTTAACGATGCTCCTGCTTTGAAGAAGGCTGATATTGGTATCGCTGTGGCCGATGCTACTGATGCCGCACGAAGTGCTTCAGACATTGTTCTTACAGAACCTGGACTAAGCGTTATTATCAGTGCAGTGTTAACTAGCAGAGCTATTTTCCAGAGGATGAAGAACTACACTGTAAGTTTCTCCTTCAAAAGTATTCTAAAGATTAAAGTGGATTTTGCAATGAATGACTTTGCTCTCTTTACTTCCACAGATCTATGCAGTCTCCATCACTATCCGTATTGTGGTAAGTACATAATAAATGAACATCAATATAATCATTATTAATAACTTTAAGTTCCAAATATTGATTCATATTTCTGGTCTTTTGCAGTTTGGATTTATGTTTATTGCACTCATCTGGAAGTTCGATTTTTCACCATTCATGGTTTTGATCATTGCCATTCTAAATGATGGTGAGATTTCATGAAGAGAATGGTCTTACGTAATTCAACTTTTTCTTACGTTCTATATGCTTAGCTAGGTTGCAGCATAGTATTAACAGTTTAAAACTAATTGATTTGAATGTTAATCAGGAACTATCATGACAATCTCAAAGGACAGAGTAAAGCCGTCTCCCTTGCCTGATAGCTGGAAACTGAAAGAAATTTTTGCCACTGGAATTGTGCTTGGAGGCTACTTGGCATTGATGACTGTCGTTTTCTTCTGGGTTATGCATGATACAGACTTCTTCTCGGTATGCGGTCCCAGAAGTTTGCTGTTCATATTTAGTGAAGGATTTTGATTCACTTTTCTAATTATATTGTCTCTGTCTTGTTCGTGTACATGAATGCAGGACAAATTTGGTGTAAGGTCTCTAAGGGACAGGGATGATCAAATGATGGGTGCTTTATATTTACAAGTGAGCATTGTGAGCCAGGCTCTAATTTTTGTGACTAGATCACGCAGTTGGTCGTATGTCGAGCGCCCTGGATTGCTGCTGGTCACTGCCTTCATTATTGCACAATTGGTAAGAATATTGTTTTCTTTATATCCAATTTCGATGCGATGATTCCGTAACTAAAGCTAAAGATGTTCAATTGTGGTGTTCCTTAGGTTGCTACATTGATTGCTGTATATGCAAACTGGGGATTTGCAAGGATTCAAGGAATAGGATGGGGATGGGCTGGTGTCATATGGCTTTACAGTATTGTTTTCTACATCCCACTTGATCTAATGAAGTTTGCGATTCGTTACATCTTAAGTGGAAAAGCTTGGCTCAATTTGCTGGAAAACAAGGTATCCCCTTACGTTACATCTATATCACTTCTAAGAATGACAACTTTTGGACCGCTTACTAAACTTGAATCATGATAACAGACCGCATTCACAACCAAGAAAGATTATGGAAAGGAAGAGAGGGAAGCTCAATGGGCACTTGCTCAAAGGACACTACATGGGCTTCAACCACCAGAAGCTACAAACATTTTTCATGACAAGAACAGCTATAGGGAGTTGTCCGAGATTGCAGAGCAGGCCAAGAGGCGAGCCGAGGTTGCAAGGTACACATCCAGTCACTCTTTCTCCCAACATGGAAAGTATATATATAAGATTGTTTAATGATGAAATGTAATTTTGGGGTGTGTGGTTATTATGATAGGCTTCGTGAGCTTCACACCCTAAAAGGACATGTGGAGTCGGTGGTGAAGCTGAAGGGGCTGGACATTGATACAATCCAGCAGCATTACACAGTTTAGGAGGAAGTTGGAGTTGAATGAGCATGAAGCAATCTAATGAAGGTCTAAAATTTCTACACAAGTGACAACATGTGTGGTTTAGTGTTTATTTTGCTTGCCTGTTAGTATGTAATTCGAGGCCAATAAGGAGCCGAGGCAATGTAATCTTCCATTTTACACACTTATTATCTCTTATCTTCATATCAACTATTCCTTGCCATTCTTTCCGGATGATCATATCATATCAAATACCTGCGTGCCCACCACATGCATTTCATATACCATATCAATTGTGGTAATTTAGCTGTAATCTGTATTCAACAATGGCTTTCACTACCTTAGAATTTGATGTAACCATAATTATAATTAAAATAAAATAAATTTAGATTTTATTATTTTAAAACTTTTAACATTATACAATTGCAGCGAGAGTATCTATAACATCCATAATTTTAAGACATGCGTATAAGAACTGTAAAAGTTTCTTAATTACGTAACAGGTAGCACTTCTATGTTTTTGGTTGAGGGCGTTTGATTATTGACAAAAGAGGAGAGAGAGAAAGCTCTGATGATCTTTCAGTCCTTATAGTTTTATAAATTTTAACTTTAGTCTCTTTAATTTTAATTTCATATATTTAACTTTTCTATTATTTGGAGTCCAATTGATAAAATCATCAAAATACTTCCATTAAATTGGATAATGTGACATTTAAAAAATTTTCTCGAAATATCAATTTAAGAAGAAAAAAAAAATCAAATTTCACATTATTTCTTTAAAAAGTTGAATTGAAATCCTTTATAACCTTGGACTCGACATTTTTATTTGTTTATTTGGCCTTCCACAGGTGTAACATTATAATATTCTCAAAAGACTTCTTATTTAATAGAAGTCTCTTGATTAAATAGGACAAAATTCTTGATTAAATACTAAAAGCATGATTAGAACAAAAATGGACAAATAAATTTTTTGTAATTTGGTGCAATTCATTCGGTGAAACACAAAGCATTTTGAAATCTAACCTCCTCATTGACTAATTGACATTTTTTTTATGAATAAAACTCTTGCTTATATAGTGCGAGCAGGGAATTCTATAAAAGCATGACGCAAGAACAAATGCAGATTAATCATTATTCCAAAACAAAAAGGTTAACGTCTAGAACCAATGGGTCATGTTCAACTATGATTAGGACTATACTCGTACAGGAAAGATCTTATCAAAAAGGAAGAAACAAATCTCAATTTCACATTAACCTTGATTTGGATTTGGATTCCACACTTTTTTAAGATTATAAAATTCTCAATTCTAAGATTTCTGCTATGTATATCGACCAACATAAAATACAGCAGTAGATATTAGCTAACCTGAACAACTATTACATGCAAAGATTGCCTTCTAATAATTTAATCACAACAGTTTGTCAATTGACAACGAAAAATGATTGTGTTCAGGTATCAGCATGATAAAGGATATGGAAGCCATAAACTTTAAACACTCACAAGGCTGAAAACTCAACTTCCTGATTGCAAGGCCTGTATGCAACAAATGTGCTATCGTCTGAGAAGGAACCTGGATTAAAGCAAGTAATTCCAGTATATTTGAATGCCTTCTGCTCACTTCTATCGCCTAAAACAATCTGCACAGAAAGGCCATGGAGTAAACAATATTAGATCTTTGCTCTAAACATGAATCGCGATAGCAGAGATGAATCTGATCTTCCAATTGAATCTATTATAAGCGACAGATCCTTTGAAATGTGTATTAATACGCACTCCAATCTGGCAAGCTAATAGATGCCAACCTAGGGTAGTTCCTAGGTAGGACATGAAACATCTGCAAACAACTTCCTCAAATACTAAAATGTTATTTAGTTAGATTCGGTTTCCCCCTTCTTCATCCTTTCCAATATAACTTTTTTAATGCCTGAAAGCAACCAAAAAGAAATAAAAGTAGGTGGACGAGAACATTACCGTATGTGGAGTTGGATATAGATGGAGACAATGGTCATAATTCCAAATGATGGGTTGTACAAAGAGAGGAAGTGGGCAGAGATGACTTTGGTGGGTTATAGTGGCAACAAGCTGCAAAAGAAACCCAAACAGTCAATCTCATAACAACAGAAGAACAATTAAATAGAGTAAGTCCCAAATAACTAAAAGCTGTTTTGGGAGTCAAGGTTACATGTTCAAATGGATCATCTGTTTCTTCACTAGAAGGGGGAATCAAACAAGAACGACGCATTCTATAGAGTAGATCTTGACGAAAAAAGACAATTTCCTGGGTGTAGAACTTTACTCTGCATCAAACCAACAACATCATTTGAAAGTTAAGACATTCCATATTTTAGGGGGAAAAGTGAACTCTTAAAGATCAACACCCTCGACTACTGCCATTAACTGGCTTTTGAAATCACAGAAATGATTTTGAAAACAAAGTTTGTACTCAAAAGAAGCTCTCCACAAAACATTAAGCTATCTTATCGTGAGATTAGAATGATTAACCTGCAGGGATTACTAGAAAATATGGCATTTGGAACATGTTTCTGGAGCTCTTCAGTAAGATATTTTGGTAAAGGACACCGTGGTAGGGTCGTTGATGGGCCTGAAATTATCAAAAGCAAATATACTTTAGTGATGCTTCTCTTTTAAGCAAATATACTTTAAATATACTTTAGTGATGCTTCTCTTTTAAAGAACAGACAGTTATTATGGGGTAAACCCTTAATATACCTGGATCACTGGGACCCGGAATAAACAGAAACTTGCTCTGCTCTTTCAGACGGGGATGGGCTTCTATCATTCGCCCTAATTTTCCAAATTGCAATCTGCAGATTGAAATAGAAAGTTATTCTCCGATCATTTTCCCCCAGAAGTGATAAACACATAGAATAACAAGAATAACCTACTTCAAGAATCCTCACCTGAGACTTGAGAAGGAATGAAAGGAGAGATTACATGGGTGAGAACAGAAGTCTCCCATGAAAACAAATAAGGAAGGAACGATTTCCACATTCTCAAATCCATCAAGGACAGTCTCCCAGCTTTTCCATAACCTTCTCTACCAACAATATGTTATATATTACATCAAGTTATTCAGCAAACAGATCACATAAAAATAACTAGAGCCCATCTATTACCTGTTCATTGTCTAGCCAAATGTCAGATAGTATGACAAACATGTCATTTACTGCTCTGTTTTCCAGATCTGCAAGTCTGAGCTATTAAGGGGGTATAGGAAACTACAATCAGTTTATACGGACCACTACAGGAAACTTCAAAGAAGTTAAGGCATTTTTCTAATTATTGAACAGAAAAAAGGGAATAATTAGGATACTGTATCCTCTTTTGTTAGTGTACCACAGCCGAAGAAGTCATGTCCAGAAAGTACTTTAAGTGATTTATCTCTGTGCTCTAAGGGAGGAAAACCACAAGTATTTACCTTCATCACAAAGCAAAGTTAGTACTGCCAGAAAAAAATGCAATTTCAATAGAAATCTTGAAACTATATATAGTAGGGTCCAGCTAATGGACGCCTATAAACACCAACTAAAGATTACTTAATTATCATTGTAGAAAAGCTTCTTAAATTTAATACATAACTCAATTTTTCATTAAACAATTATGATTTCTTAGGGTTGCAATGCTGTTCAAACTTCAAAGCGTGCACTGAGCTTCAAAAAGTAGATTTACATTGCTAACAATACATATCTCCCTGGAGGCCTCATAAATGAAAGCTGAATATAGCAACTGTAGGGAAAATAAAAGATAACACCAACCTGAAAAATTCCCTCAGCAAGCATTTCACCTTCTGCTACAATTATGGTGTTCTCAGTGAAAAATCCTGTAGTTATTTTGTATTGGCTGTCAAAGAATGCAATAATTTTCTTTCTTTTTTCAGTTTGATTTGAAGTAAGCAATGACATTTTCCACAATTAGTACTTTATGAAGCAGGAGAAAAATGAATGAAATAGAATTAACATATGAGCAAATATGATAATCAATTATGTAAAAGGATATTGCTTTGGAGAAGTCTATTTCAACAGCAGCAGTGAGGTCTTCCAAGTAAAAATGACCGTCCTCCAACTGAGAGATGACACCCATTACCCATCTCCGTCCTCTTTGACCAACCAGAGATTGTATTGTTGATAGCTGCCAACAAAATTGTTTTCCTTGTGAAATTCAGAACCCCAGTAATATTTCTGAATTAGACCACATAAAAAATGAAATTGAATAACATCGCATTGCTTCACATTACATGCATAGGTGGCGGAGCCACATATTTGACACCCTCAAAAATATTGAACTTTTATATATAAAAAATTTATATAAAATGATATTAAAAGCAAAATTGACACCAATTTAAAAGAGTGTTATGTATTGGTTTTCTAAATGCTAACACCACATTCTAAATTTTCTGACTCTGCACCTATACATACATACATATTATAAAGTAGTGCACACCTGATAACTTTGAGAGGTTTCAACATCAGTATCAAAGGCGGGTTTAATAAAATGCTGATCACGAGAAACCCTTTGGAACAGCAACAAGAACCTATCTCTATAAAGAGCTGCTTTTGCAGAAGCCTCCCCGTGGATGGGTAGACAACCCGTATGTCTACAAATATCAAGCAAGCCTCGAGATTGGATCCAACAATAATAGTTTCAACATGAAAACAAAGACGAGGAAGAGCGTTTTACATACTGAAAGAAATGCTTCTTGATGGGGTCGTATCGAAATTTGGGGACAAGAAAGGCATCAACGACGCGAATTGAAGAAGAAGAAGAAGACGGGGATTCCTCCTCAGCTGCTTCGGCTTCCAAAAGAAGACTGATTACTGGGTGCACCGCCTCCTTGTCGATTATGGATGATTTCACTGCTTACAATTATAAATCCAATTACAAAGAGTGTGAAAAAATAATTAGATAATAAAAACCCTAAAATACAGAAATCGAATATATATGCGTGTGTACAGGATTGGTGATCGAGGTGATCGAGGAGCAGATCGATAGCCTCGTCTTCAGCATCTTGGAAGCGATTAACGAAGGAAAGAATCTCTTCAAGACCATCCATCTTCAAGCCGTATCCTCTTATCCTCAATTTCTTTTCAATCTTCTTACGAATTTGCCCACTCATTTTTGCTTTTTCCTTTCTTTTTTGTTTCACGCTCCCCTTCCTTCACTCTGGCGAATTGCAAGGGGAGTATAGATTCGCACTTTTACCACCGATGTTGGGCGGGAAACATTTTCTCTCTTTTGTAAAAAATGGCGGGAAACTAGTAATTGAATAATTACTTGCCCTAAATTTAGTATTTATTTGTCATTCGCACAAAATAAATCCTTTTCTGAAGATGATTGATGGAGAGGGGGTGAAGTTTTGATGCTTACTTTAAAACTAATAAATAACTGGAGATTGTGTGATGAAATTTTTAGAGATTCGCAAACAATCGGATTACTTAGTCATTATCATATCTAAGAATTTTCAAATTCTAAAATTGATTGTTTTTCTACAAAATGTTATTAAATTTATATTTAAAAATTGTATTTATTTTTATCTTAAAAATTAGCATATACATCTCTTATTATTTCAATTATAATGATTTTTCTTTATTTTTATATAAAATACTTTAGTTCTTTTATATTATTAATGTAGCAAAATTTAATTAGTTTAATTTTTAAATAAGTTTTACGCCACTTATTAACATAAAACATTAATTTTTATATTGTATTGATTTTAAACTAATAAAAATAATTTAAATGTCAATCCAATTAAAATTTTAAGATATTTTAACTTATTTAGATCAATATCAACGTATACTGAGTTTAATAAAAACAATTTGTTGCCCTTCTGTTTCCAAGGCTTCACCTTCATTAATCCGGATTGACCCGCGTTGCATGACTAGTTTTGGTAGGTGAGTCTCCCGATAGGAATTTTCTTCATATACAACAACTCGAACTCAAGACCTAGATTAAACGGTATTAAATTACTTACCTCTTTAACTAACCCTTGTTGGTACTGAGTTTAATATTTTAAAACCGCTTCAACTTATTTTTATATTAACATTTTTATTTTTATATAATTATATTTAAAATTATAATATAATTATTTAGTTGAGTTTTGAAATTAATTAACAATTTTAATATTTATAGCCAACTAACAGTAAAAAAAATTTGAACGATAAATTGTTTCATATACCTTTTCTACCATATCATCAATAGTTTCAACCAATTAAAACCATCCACGTTAACTTTTTTCCCACGTCATTTACACATAATAAGAACTTTATTTTGTTACCAAAAAATAAAAAAAAATATTTAGAGTTTACACATAATAAGAACTTTATTTTGTTACCAAAAATAATAAAAAAAATATTTTCTAAATCAATTTCTTCATTAATATATATCAAAATTAAACTTATATTTAGAGATTATATTTAGAGTTTCCTAATCTTATTTTCGACACTCTCCTCTTCTTTTTGTTTCTGGGTGCACATGCAGCTGTTGCCAGGACATTCCTTGGATCCGGAGAAGAAGAAGACGATGAATATTAATATTAGCAAATAGCTATAAGGCCAGTAAACTTTTGAGAGACTTAGATATAGTGATAAATAGATTTATCACTGTTGTATTTAACTGTGAGAATTTAATATTTATTTTTATCATCAGAGGTCTAGAGTAGAGGAGTCACAGGGTTGGTAGATGAATGGATTATTTACTACTTGCATTCCTCTACAAATTAGTAGAGTTTTAAAAGTATGCATTTTAAGTTGGTTGTAATGTAAACAAGATATCTACGCATACTATTAAAATGAGTCACAGGGTTGGTTGATGGCACTTGTCTCGTACAAAGATTTAATGACCAATCATGTTCCCATATGGTCTGCATATAAACAATATATCTATGCTCATTTTCTGTGATCCTATTGGCGAGCGTCTCCAAACAATGGAGGAAAAAGTTCATCAATTCAGAAAAACTCAATGTTTTCATGAAACTATTTAAAATTACAATTTCAGTAGCCATCGATATATATAGGCAACGAATGGTACGTACTTTCAGCTTCACGAAAACGATGTTACCTGTTGTTTTCTATCAATCAAGCAGTTGAACAGCTGCAATCAATTTTTGAGTTAAAGCAACACGGACGGTCATAACTCCAGCTGCAGGTCCGCTAAGCCGAACTTTTACGACGTAGTCATTTATCTCCACAAGCACAAGTTCTCCACCTCCAGTGCCTACCAAGTATGGTCTAATCTCATCTAGAACCTGCAATATAAAACCTGGCTTTAGATCTTTGTTTACACGTTTATCCTCTTTCTCCAGCACAAAACAGTATTCATCATCGAGAGAAAAAAAATCACAAAGAATTTCCTAGGGCAACTTGAGACTAATAACGAGCATCTGAAATTTAAACTGAATGCGACTGCACCATAAAGCAGTGAATTGAAAGGGTTTCAAAGCGAGAATACTCGGTGTTCAACCAAAATCCTGGTTTAACCTCTACTTTTGCATGTAAATCTTTCCACTTAGACTGATACATGCAGATAATAAAAGTATTTCACTATTTTGCTGCTGAAGTCAGCAGTAGAGTCTGCATTTTTTCTGTCAAAATATTATTTCCAAGCTCTTTACCACCTTTCTGAGAAAAAGTACATAAAAGAAACCAACTACATAAAGTTACATATTGACAGTTCCCAATTTACTGAACAACCTTTATCTACACAGCTGTTCCTATCTTTCAGCAAGAAAGGTAAACAATTTATTGGTTCCTTTTTTCCCTCGTTTTTATTCAACAGTTCATGTTGCCTTCATCATGAATTTATCAAGTAAATGAATGAAAGTACAAGCATCAGATAATTAAGCTATGAAGAAATGAGGGGGAAAAGGTCTTGAGTTCTCGATCATTAGAGCTTCAGCCATCTAACCTTTTCAATGTTCTCTTCATTCAACTCGAGTCCTGTCTCAGTGTCCATGATCTGCTCCACTTCCAAAATTTCAGGAATTTTATCTCGGAGGCGAGTTTCGATTCCCATCTTTAGGGTCATTGTTGAGCTCGGACACGAACCGCATGCTCCTTGCAACTTCAAGACCACAACGAGACCATCTATTTCATGCAAAGCCACATTTCCTCCATCAGCCATTAAACCAGGACGTACCTCATCCAACACCTTCTCTACATTCTCCTCGGTTAGTGGAAGGACACAGCTGGGCGAAACAACAAACCCTTTGGCATTGGAAAAGCAAAGCTTTATTCAGATTTTCTAGTTCCTTTCATTAACTTCAAGTTCAGTGACTAATCGTATTTATAATGTTATTAAACCACAAACGCATCCTGCCTGTTTCCATTAATTAACACAATTTCATCACAGGAATTGTACCATTTTCAACTCTTAACTACTTCTCTTGAGGAATACGATGAAGAAATGAATTTATCTAAAACGCCCGAAACATTAGCAATAAAAGGAGAGTAATTGCATTATAATTACCTCTTCGCTTTCTCCGAGCACGAGTTGAAAAAAAAAATCAGAAATTGTCTGTTGATAGAATGGCCCCTGAGGAAAGCGTTGTCCTTTGAGGACAATCCAAATGAACCTGAAATGAGATTCTAAAGATAAAAGTAGCAACAGGGTCAGACGAGACCAGTTGAGTTGACCAAAGATTGCATTAAAGACCATGGGACGAAACAGTAAGAAGTAAAGGACTGAAATCGGAACCTTAAAGAGAGACAAACATGGAGGCGGGGCTTCTTTAGATGATGAGATTGAGAGAAGCGGGTTCAATGCTGCAATTTGTCTTGCTTTGAGTGCTGCCTGTGCCTGTGTGGAGATTGCACTCATTTCTGGCCTTTCTGTTCAATAATCAGTAGAGAATAAAAAAGAAACAATACTAATCATGGCCGGTGAAGCTGCTGTTTTAGAAAAGTTATTGAATGGCATAGGGGAGTTGATAAAATGAAAATCTGGCATGAATGGCCAGAGTGATTCCTTTGCGCCCACGAGGGCTTTACCGTTGTGATTACATGTAACACAAGTGATCCGTGGCGATTCCACTCACCACAAACTAAAGCCCAGTACGAGATGGGCCGATATGGTGGTTGACCAACCAACACTCAATGAACATCCACCTGCCTACTACGGCCCATAAGCTTTTGTCATCGGTCTCATACCAATGGCAACTAATTCTGAGATAAGCCATCATCTGGCTTTTTTGGTCCAATAAGGATAATGAGTTTTTTATTTAAGAGAAAATCGCCTCAGTGACCAAAAATGTCTTATAATATACGATTTTAACCAACTTTTTTTGGATTTGCCAAAATGACCAACAAAATCGCAACGCGAAATAAAAATCGCAACGCGATCCCCAGAATCGCAAATCAGTTTCCAAAATCGCAACGCGATTCTTGAAAATCGCAATGCGATAGTACAAATTCGCATTGCGATTTTCCAAAATCGCAACGCGAATATGAAAATCGCAACGCGAACACATAAATCGCAACGCGTATCCGTAAATCGCAACGTGTATCCGTAAATCGCAACGCGTATGGGTAAATCGTAATGCGTATCCGTATATCGCAACGCGTATCCGTAAATCGCAACGATAATACATAAAATCGCAACGCGTATCCGTAAATCGCAACGCGATATTTAAAGCGCCATTATAATCGCTACGCGTATTTTATTTTCAAATTACAAAAACGAATATTAAGACAAAATCCCGTAATCGCAACTCATAACCTAAAACCTAAAATCACAACTCAGTCCCATCTCCATCTCTCACTCTCTACGGCGAAGAAATCCGTCCCCATCTCCGAAGATTTCCGTCCCCATCTCCGACGAAATCCCTCACAACCATTCACGGTCAGAAATCACTCACAATATTCAGAAATGGAAAATCAACCTCCGAGGGTTAGTTTTTTTAATTATTTTTATTTTGAAATGTTTGCATTATTGTAGGTTTTTCATATTGAAACTGATGATAAGTTTACTGGTCATTTCAATAATAGATTAACCATTTCACTTAGATTTCATTTCGCGTTACGATTCTGTCGTTGCGATTTTCATTTCGCGTTGCTATTCTCTCGTTGCGATTTTCAAGTTAGTATTTGTCTTTGTCTTTGTTCTGTCTTTTGGTTGAAGTAATGCAATTCATTCAAGTTTCAATTTGCAGAAGAGTCGCAACGAGA